ACACAGGGACCCCTCAACACATACAGGGACCTCAGCACACAGGGACCCCTCAACACACACAGGGACCCCTCAACACACACAGGGACCCCTCAACATACACAGGGACCCCTCAACACACAGGGACCCCCTCAACACACACAGGGACCCCAGCACACAGGGACCCCTCAACACATACAGGGACCCCAGCACACAGGGACCCTCTCAACACACACAGGGACTCCAGCACACAGGGACTCCTCAACACACACAGGGACCCCTCAACACACACAGGGACTCCTCAATACACACAGGGACCCCAGCACACAGGGACCCCTCAACACACACAGGGACCCCCTCAACACACACAGGTACCCCTCAACACACACAGGTACCCCTCAACACACACAGAGACCCCTCAACACACAGAGGGACCCCCTCAACATACATAGTGACCCCCTCAACACACACAGGGACCCCTCAACATACACAGGGACCCCCTCAACACACACAGGGACCCCCTAAACACACAGGGACCCCAGCACACAGGGACCCCTCAACACACACAGGGACCCCCATAGGGACCCCCTCAAGACACACAGGGACCCTCATAGGGACCCCAGTACACACAGGGACCCCCAACAAACAAGGGACCCCAGCACACAGGACCTCCTCAACACACACAAGGACCCCCAGCAAATAAGGGACCCCACCCATTCAGGGACCCCATATCCACAAGGACCCCTCACATAGGGAACCTACACACAGGGACCCCCCAAGACACACAGAGACCCCCCCAACACACAGAGCGACCCCACCCATTGGGACCTCATATCCACGAGGACCCCCTTCCACAGGGACTCCCACCCATAGGAACCCCACATCCACAGGCCCCCCATGCACACGAGCACCCCACAAGCCCCATTCTCCTTGGGAGCAAGGGCTATGGAAGGGGTCAGATCACCAACGCAAAGGGCAGAGGGAGGCCTGGCCAGGCCCAGCTGGCGTGGGAGCCCTGCCCGGGGCCAGAGCGGGAGAGTGAGGCAGGAAGATGACACGGGCAACAGGAGGGCTCGGGCCACTCTGCCACTTGCAAAACAGCCTGTCTGCAAAATGGGAGTGACAGTGAAATCCCTATTTCCAGGGCTGGGAGAGAAGGAAACGGAGATGTAGCGGGGCGCCTGGGAGCGGGCGGTCAGTCAACACCGACTTGGGAACAGCACGGAGGCCGAGCGCAGGGGCTCCGGGTCCAGCAGACGGGTCCCCCCAACCTGCTGCAGACTCAGAGCAGGCCCTGACTCAGTGACTGTCCTGCCATCCTAGAGGAACCCCCCTTGCGGGCCCTGGAGAGGGGTGGGGTGACTGTTCAAAGAGCCCAGGGGCACCCTGCTGCCACCTGCCCTAGCCCGACCAGGAGTCACCAGGCTCCCTGCCCCGCCCCCTCGCTTACTACCTACTCTCGCCCCGGGAATAAGGCGGCCCGGCTGGAGGCGCCCACATGAAGGCACGTGAGTGTGCACCCCACACGTGCACACACACACACACACACGCACATGCACACACGCACATGCACATGCACACACACGCACACTAGCTCACTCTGTCTTTGCTCTGACCTTCCCCACGCCACACTCGGTCCCATCCAGGAGGGGAATGAGGCGGCGGCTGCAGCTGCTCTGGTCCAGCGGGTCTGTGTGGCAGGACAGAGCCTGGCACATGTCCTAAGAGGGGGGACGGGTGGCCAGCTCGGGGCCACCAGGGCGCGTTAGGCCAGTGTCCAGCCTTAACTGTCCCTCCAGACCACAGGACACACTGCCATGGCCAATACACTCTCCGTGGGCACCGGTGGCCTGGGAGGACAAGGCCCTGCTGACCCATCCACCAGGAACAGGGACTCCGACCGGACCTTCAGGGGCCCACGGGAATGTTTCAACTTCTTTTAAAATCAAAAGAAAAGAATAACTCCTAGGTCAAAATTAATGATCCAATATATACATATATACATATACATATATATATATATACACATATATATATAACAGATTTGTATTCACAATAACATGTAAAAGTTTCTGCATTTTATAAAAATACAATACCAAAACATGATTTTTAGTTGTGGAGGGAGGGGCCCCTGAGACAAAAGTGCCTGCAGCCCACGAGGGGCCCGTGCAGCCCTGGGAGGGATCCTGTCTTTTGGGGGCACCAGCCATACTCCTGCTCTGGGTTCACTTTGGAGGCCACTTCCTCCATGCTGACTCCAGCCCCAGTGGCGGGAAGCCCTTGGTGGCTGTTTGGGATCGGTGTCCTCGCTCAGCCAGGAGTCCATGGGCACAGGGGCTCTGCCAGGACTGGCAACGTCATTTTCGGGGCCCCGTCAGACAAAGACATGGAAAACTGTTCAAACTTTTGTAAGAATGTGCAGAGGTGGGGGACAGCGTTAGACCAAGCTGGCACCCAGTAGGTGCTCACAGTGCAGGTGGAGGGGACAGGAGCTGGGCAGTGCTGACCAACCCGATGAGCCACCGTGGCCACCCGCAGGCAGACTCACGAGGTCCTCCCTGGCGAAGGTGCAGGCCACCGCCGCAGGGCCGAAGGCAACCTGGCACTGCTCATCTGCGCCATAGTAGAGGCCGGGCAGCGCCTCCCCCAGGTGCCTCTCAGGGCCGGGTCCAGGCTGCGGCGGGTCCCACAGGCAGTGCGCCCGTCCTGCGCTGAACAAGGCCCTGGCTCAGCCCCGCAGGGACACGGGGTGAGGCAGGATGGAGCAGCGGGTTCGGGGGTGTGGGCATCTGGAGAGGCGGCCGCTGTGGGGGGGCACGTCCCCACCAGGAGCTGGCCCTGGGCCCTGGGGGTCACCTGGGGGAGGTGGGTGGGGAGGGGACGGAGGGATGGACCCGAGGGGATGGGGCAGATAGAGGCGGGACGGGGAGGGCAGAGGAGGGTAGGGGCGGTGGATGTAGGCCAGTGGGGGTGCTGGAGGGCTGGGTCTGCGGCAGGGGCGGGAGTGGATGCAGGTGGGGCAGCTGAAGGGTCAGGGTGAATTGAGGGGTGGACACAGGGACGGGGTGGGACGAAGGAGTGAGTGCGGGGAAGTGGGAAAGAAGGAGTGTGGGTGCAGGGTGGGGAGTGGGAGTGGATGGAGGGGAGGGAGGGAAGGGGGCGAGACGGAGAGGTGTGGCGGTGGGAGAAAGGAGGGGGTGGGATGGAAGGGTGGGAGCAGGGTGTGGGATGGGAGTGGATGGAGGGGAGGGGGCTAGATGGAGAGGTGGGGGAGGGGGTGGTGGTGGGAGAAAGGAGGGGGTGGGATAGAAGGGTGGGCGCAGGGTGGGGGGTGGAGTGGTGGTCGCAGGGGCCTGGGTTGTGATGGAGGGGTGGGACGGAGCAGAGGGGCAGGCCAGAGTGGTGAGTCTCAGGTGAAGACAGCGGTGGGGGCGCAGAGTGGAGAGGGGGCGGGGCTCGGGCACTACCTGAGCAGGTGCTGCAGCTGCCGGCGGCTGCAGGGGGACCAGGCGAGGCCCGAGTGGCCCTGGCCAGGTGCGGAGCCGTAGGACGCCATCACATGGCCACTGGGGCCACAGCCGCTGCCGGGCTCACCGTCGTGCCCCAGGCCCAGGCTGTGGGGAGGCGGGGCGGAGGTGGGGGCTCCTCTGTCAGGCTGGGCAAGACCCCTGCCCGCCCCAGTCCCGGCCCGGCCCAGGGCAGCTCCTTGGCCGGAGCCTGTGGACCGCGTACCTGTGCCCGATCTCGTGGGCGATGGTGACCCCCAGGTCGAAGCCGGTGTCCTCGGTGATGAGGCAGCTCCAGGAGGGGGAGCAGGCGCCCCCCAGCTGGGTGACTCCCCGCACCTGCCGGTTACCGTCAGGCAGCTCCAGGTCAAACCTCCGCAAGAGAAAACTGTCGCCTGAGCGGTGCAGAGGTGCGTGCCCACCCCAGGTCACCTCTGCCGAGGGCAGGGGACCGAGGGTGCAGGCTTCCCAGGCCGGCCAGCGGGGACGCCGTGGGACAGCCCAGCCACCTGGTGACGTAGAGCACCAGGTCTGCGTGCCCAGGGTCCGCGTCGTCCTCGGGGTTGACCGTCCGGCTCCACTCGCAGACGCGCAGCAGTGACGAGGTTATGTTGGCCGTGATGTTGGGGGCGCCCTGGGGGGCGATGACGGCCTGAGTCTGGAGGACCCCCCCAGGCGTGGCCCCGACTGCTGTCGGTACGTTTCTCAGGGAGTCCTTGTGACAACCCTATTACCGCGTTTCCCCGAAAATAAGACCTACCCATACAATAAGCCCCAGCAGGATGTCTAAGCATGTGCGCAATAGAAGCCCCACCCCATAATAAGCCCTAGTGACGGGCGTGGCCATGCAGCGCATCTGCACAGCCCATGCGTGTCGTCGCGGAGCGGGAAAGAAGACGAGCAGCCCTTCTCCTCTGCCCCATCGTGACAGCGACTATCCCAGAGGTGACTGGAAAGGTGGGGGCAGCCCCACCAACAAGGTCGGCTCCCCCCGTCGGGTCCCTGCCATCCTGTGCGTGCTGCAAGCTGAGGCTTTGAGGGGAAAATAACACATCTCCTGAAAATAAGCCCCAGGGTGTCTTCTTGAGGAAAAATAAATATAAGACCCTGTCTTATTTTGGGGGAAACACAGTACGATTTCATGTTGCAGACGAGGAAACTGAGGCTCGGAGAAGCACAGCCAGGCAGCCATGCAGAATGAAGTCTGGGCGGAGCTGGCGCTGGAGCCTGGGCCCGTCTGGCTGAGCACCCCGCCGCGACCCAGGCAGCGCGGGGACGTCCACAGGAAGGGAGACAGAGAGGCGGGGAGGCTGGGCTCCAGCCCTGAGGGGTGCTGAAGTCCAGCTGGGAGCCTACCTCGGGCTCCGTGAGGATGACCATCTTCACCAGGTGCACTCGGAACCGAGCCCCCAGGGACGGGTCCCTCAGCAGCTCCGACCCCTGGGGAAGGGCAGACAGGGAGGTGACCCGTGGGGGCGTGGCCAGCCCAGGCCGCTGCTGATTCCCAGGGACCCCAGATGTGGGTGGGGCCGGAAAGGCTGCTCCATCCCCAGGGGGGCGGGGGGGGCACCCGAAATGCTGGTGGCTGGGCCAAGGGCCTGCAACAGACAGTCAGGGTGCCGGGTCCTCCCCTAGCTCAGAGCTCAGGAAGAACTAACAAAGAAAAGAAACCCCAAGGCCGGGGCGCAGGGGCTCACGCCTGTAATCCTAGCACTCTGGGAGGCCAAGGCGGGTGGATCGCTCAAGGTCAGGAATTCGAAACAAGCCTGAGCAAGAGCGAGGCCCGTCTCTACTATAAATAGAAATTAATTGGCCAACTAAAAATATATAGAAAAAATTAGCCAGGCATTGTGGCGCATGCCTGTAGTCCCAGCTACTTGGGAGGCTGAGGCAGGAGGATCGCTTGAGCCCAGCAGTTTGAGGTTGCTGTGAGCTATGATGGCACCACAGCACTCTAGCCTGGGGGACACAGTGAGACTCTGTCTCAAAAAAAAAAAAAACAAATCATAGCTGCGAAGGAGCTGGCACAGGTTGGTGGCCGTGACGCCATGGCCACCAGGGCACCCTGTGGACGGCATCTGAGAGTCGGAGGGGGGACCCCCAGGGCTTAAAAACAATAGTTTCCAAATGACTTAGAGGAGATATTTTTCAATGAGAAGAGACAACATCACCCTCGGGGCTTGGCGGCAGAACACCTAAGCCGTCTCCTTCTGGACTGGACAGAGACTGGGCACAGGAGGGACCCCGGCTCTCTGCTGGGGGCGGGGAGGGCACAGCGAGGGGAGGGAGACCCCCGGGCTCCGAGACCGGCGAGGTGACGTAGCGAGGAACCTTTCCTTTTATCCGAAATACGTCACCAGACCTGAGTCTGGGGACAAAGTGGTACCGGATACCCCACATTCTCGGGGGAGCTGCCTGTGGCTGGGACCAGAGACAGCCCCCAGGTCAACTCGCAGAGAGGGGGTGCTGCCCGAGGTGCTGCCACCTGCAGGTCCTCACGCCCCTCCCCTCCCCGGAGCAGAGCAAGCTGGGGGCAGGGCCGGGGCCTGGAGCCGTCCACTGAGACTAATCTCCTAACTGCTCCTAAAGTCCAGTTAGCCAAAATTCTTTTTAAACATTTTCAGTGAGTGAACTTCGCGATTTTCTTGTCGTCACGTCTAGCCGCCTTGCGCCGTGGCCGAGGCGTGTGGCCTGGGTGGTGGTGCTCACTCCTCGGCGACCGTGGACGTGCCCCCAGCCTGGTCACGGCCGTCTTCCGTGGTGTGACGTGTGTCCTCCGGCCGCTGGGCGCAGTGCTTCGAGCAGACTGCTAGACTGAGACTGGGTTGCTGAGGTCACCCCTGCCTCTCCCGCCTCTCCTGTCGCTCTGCCACCGTGACGTTAGGGGAACAGCGCTCCCCACCGCCCCACCCCAACCCCCAGGGAAGAGGAGCCGCACCCGGGGCTGGGTGACCGGAAAACGGAGATGGCATGTGCTTTGCCCGTGGTGTCTGTTTAGACTGCGAACTGGTCCATCTGCCCTGTGCCCCCCAGGAGGGGACAAGGGGACAGAGAGAGGGCAGGGCGGGGCGCAGAGGGAGGGCGGGCAGCCTGCACGCCCTCCTGGTTGGGGCAGGGATGGCTGGGCTCAGCGTGGCCAAATGGACACCAGGGAAGTGGCCAGGCTCGGGGGCCCAGGTGAAGGGACCCCGATAGTGAGGGGCGGAGGGGTGTGCTCTGGAGCTGAAAGGGATGCCCAGACCTCACCCACCTCCCCGCCAGGGAGGAAGAAAACAGCAGACCACACCTCTCTCCCCGTCTCTCCCCGGCCCTGTGCCCCAAGCTGTACACCTGAGTTTAACCCGCTGAGCTGACACTGCCACTGGCATTTGGTCACCCGCCCTGGCTGGGGGGACACTGCATCCAGAGGTTTATGAGCACGGCCCACAGCCCTGCCAGAGACCTCGTGTGTGCCGACCAGCGCCGTCCCCAGGGGCCAGTCCCCGCGGGGCACTCACAATGTTGAGGTTGGTGAGCACGTAGCGCTCCGTGTCCTCCTGGTGGGCCTGGTGGACGTCGGGGCCCACGGCCACCAGCAGCTCCAGGTGCAGGACGCCTCCCGCAGCCCGCCTCTGTCTCCGGAGGCCTGGAGGGGGAGGAGGCCGAGGGCAGAGGTTCTAGAAAGCAGGTACTGGCCAGCTAGCGGACAGAGTGGGCGGGTCTTGGGAGGACGGCCTTCCCAAGTCAAGACGCTTCAGCCCCACCCAAGGCAGGATCCCGTTAGTGGCTGGGCGCTTGAGGCCTGCAGGAGGGCAAGGCCTGGGAGAGGCTGCTGGGCTGTGGTCCTGTGGGTCACCCGTCAAGGCAAGCCTTCCCCTGCCCTTGTGGCTCTGTCAGAAGCCCAAGCCCTGCCCTGGCTGCCGGGCCCCCCAGTGGGGCTCCGCTGTGTCATGAGCAGCATCAGGAGCCCGACAGGAAAGCGAGCACAGGGGCCTCCGTGTCTCCGTGACAAGCAGGGCCCGGCTGTCCTCACTGTCCTCCTCCCGCGGGAGCCCCGAGGGCTCTGGGACCCCAGGGGCGTTCTCCTGGCCTTCCCGGAGGGGCAGAGCTGGAAGCGCCCGGGCTAGGGACGCACAGATACACAGGTGCCCCCCGGGCAGTCAGTGGGCGTCTGGCCAAGACCACGGAGAGCCGGGCTCCGAGTGGGATGTCCTCTGGGTCTCTGCACCCCGCCCCCGGCCCGCCTGCCTCTGGCCCCACCAGCCTTTTGATCGAAGTCACCAAGGGCCCTGCCGGGGAAAGGCCAGCCGAGCCACTGGGGACCCCGGGGACGGCCTCTGGCACAAGGAAACCCTGGTTTCCTAGCGCCTGGTCCAGGCCCTATCTTGCTCCCCACAGAAGGAGTAAATATTTATATCCACGGCCAGAAACCGCCAGAGTGCCTGAAACCCGGCCAGCCCAGCAGAAGCCGCGGGGCAGAAGGGGCCAGCCAACCCTCGACCGTCGGCTGGAGACATTTAACAGACTCCTGGGCTTGGCCGGACACCCAGGCCCGCGGTTATCGCCCTGGCGGGAAGTGGGGGAGTTAGCGCACAGGGGTGACGGGAGAGCCCCAGCCCACCGCCTCAGTGGTGAGATGCCCAGAAAGTCCCGAAAGTCCCCGCCGAGAGACGCCGGGGCAAGTACCTTTCCAGGTAGCATCGGGGCCAAGGTGGGAAGGCACCTCCTCCGGCTCCCAGGCCTGAAGAAACCTCTGCAAGACAAAAAGAGATGAGTGGAGAGGGAGAAAGGAGGGGAGAAGGGCAGAAAGGCTGCCTCCCCCCCCCCAGGTAAGACCACACAGGGAAGGGGGATAAGAGGCAGGGAGGGGGACAGGGCCAGCGGGCAGGGCGTGTGGACAGGACCAACCCACAGGGATGTGGCACCCACTAGCGTCTGTCTGCTCAGCTTCAACCAGATGAGCACTGAGCTGCTGGCGCTGAGACACCAACTCCCCCCTCTGTGAGCATACTGCACCCCAGAACCCCAAGCCCAGCTTCCTCCATCCAGTGCAACCTCCCCCCCCCAGAGCTGAGGTGTCTGCTGAATGAGCAGCCCCCTCTCCCAGGGCTGCCAGCAGCCCCCACCCCGGGACCCCACCGCTCCTGCAACGGAGCCCACCTGCTGGAAACCGGGGAGCCCCCGGCCGCCCAGGAGAAGGAAGGCACAAATGAGGGCTGCCCCCACGCCGGCCACGCAGAGGGGCCGGCATCTGGCCCAGGGCTGAAGCTTGCACATCCTCCGGAGACCAGCCTGCTGAGGGAAGGGGCCTGAGGACTGTGGATCCGCCACCACCCGCCGGAATGTGCCGGACTGCTTGCGGGGCGGGGCGACCAGGCCACGTTGACTATTGGCAGGGGCCCTGGGGGGGGGGGAGGCGGCTGCAGCTCCTCCTGCTGCGACCTGGGCCCTGCTCTGGGACGGTCCCCAGGTCAGAGCACCCCAACCTGGTCCTGCACCGCAAAGAGCCCTCCAGCTGTGCACCCCTGGCCTCCTGGGAGGGGGCTGGGCCAAGCGACCCAGTCTGGAGGAGGAGGGAGTCCTGGACAGAGAACCTGGGGACACACTGGGACGTGGGCTGGCTCTGAGAGGGGGGGCTCCTTTCCCATCTGATAGAGGAAAGGCCATGCCAAAGACATCGCAGTTCCGGCTCCACCGTCTGCCCCAGATGAGGAGTCACGGAGCAGGCCGAGCGGCGCCAACCCCCCGCCCCCCCGCCCGCACCTCCAACACACCCGCCCTCGCCCCTGGTGCTCCAGCCACGCCAGCCTGCTGCCCGTTCCTCAAACACATCAAACGCTCCGTGGTCCCCTCTGCACCCTGGTCGTCACACTCAAGTGTCAGCTCAGATGTCACCTCCTCAAAGAGGCCTCCCTCACGGCCCTGTCTACGCAGCCTCCTGTTTAAGGTTGCCACATTTAGAAAATAAACATCAGGACACTCCGTTAAATTTGAATTTCAGGTAAACAACAAATAATCTTTTAGCATAAGCATGTCCCAAATATTGCACATGTTCCATGGGAGATACTAAAAACAATTCTGTGTCTGAAACTTCTGTTCAACTGAGTGTCCTGCATTTTGTCCGCCAACCTCACTCCTAGTCAATCTTTGCCACGACATCTCCTTTTATCACCTTCACTGGTACTGCTGTCCAAAAGTATCCTGATGTATTAACTTATCTGTGCTTCCCTGCAGGCCCCTGTCGACGTAAAGGGAGAAACTGAGGTAGAACGAACATAAGTAGAGTGTTGACTTAGGTTGTGATCCACAGCACACGCCCTCTACCAACTGGGACAGGCCTTAAGGTTGAGAAACCAAAAGTCCCCCGTGGACTGAGGTTCAGGGCTTGCCTGGCGTGGCAACTTCCCAAACTCCTACAGCAACAGGGAAAACCACACTCTTGCTAAACTCCCTGACACGAGGAGCCACCAGGAAAATTGTCAGACCCCTCCTAACTCCGATTTACAACCCTGATGGCCACAACGCTGGCTGGACAGAGGACCTCCCTTACGGACACTCTTCCCTGATGAGCAAGGGCAGACCTCAAGCCTGCGTCAGCCAGCCATGGAGACCTTGCGCAAACTGGCCTCGCGTCCTGCCGTTCACCTTCTGATGGCAAAGGCTGAATTCCACCTCTTTTTCATGAGAAAGGCCTGCCCCTAATTGAACATGGGACATCTGCTACATTTATGTTTACTCACTGTGCACACACTCAGCTCCCCTCATGAATATGTATAGCTTCCCCCACACACACCTGCTGAATGCGTATTGTGTAATGGAGACCCCGGGAGGCATAAAACCAACCCAACTGCCCTGCCTTTGCAGAGAGGGCTCCTTCCGCACGTGCCGAAGACTGTCTCTTCCCAGCCTCAAAGTGATAGCACCGATAAAGCTCTCCTTTCTACTAGCTAGCCATCCTGGTGGCCTTGTGGGTGACAGGGCCAAGACTGAGGACTGGTTCTGTCAACCTGAAATAATCAGGTTAATAAAGGATCAAAATCCAGGGCTGTCTTTGTTGTTGCTGTTGTTGTTTTTGAGATAGAGTCTCACTCTGTTGCCTGGGCTAGAGTGCCGTGGCATCAGCCTAGCTCACAGCAACCTCAATCTCCTGGGCTCAAGCGATCCTCCTGCCTCAGCCTCCCAAGTAGCTGGGACTACAGGCATGTGCCACCATGCCCGGCTAATTTTTTCTATATATTTTTAGTTGTTTGGCTAATTTCTATTTTTAGTAGAAATGGGGTCCCGTTCTTGCTCAGGCTGGTCTCGAACTCCTAACCTTGAGCATTCCTCCCACCTGGGCCTCCTAGAGTGCTAGCATTACAGGTGTGAGCCACCACGCCCGGCCCAAAATCCAGTTTTAAAGAGTTTATTCAGGCCCAGCGTGGTGGTGGCTCACGCCTGTAATCCTAGCACTCTGGGAGGCTGAGGCAGGAGGATTCCTTGAGTCCAGGGTTTGAGGTTGCAGTGAGCTATGACACCACAGCACTGTAGGCCAGGCAACAGAGCAAGAGTGTCTCAAAAAAAAAAAAAGTTTATTCAACCAAAACGCTGGGAATAGTATCTGGGAAACACAGACTCCAAAGAAATGGGGTCAGTGCCCTAGAGTTAAAAGTTAAGGCTTTGCTTATACAGGCAGAAGACAAAGAAATTTAGTAGGATGATAGTATTTTCCACATAAGACTGGCTTATAAGTTACAATAATTTAATTACAGCTTATTTTCATTTCCTTTCTAATTTAAAAGATGTGTTTAACATTTCATCTTAGAAAATGTGATAGTCACATATTTAACATTCCATCTTAGCTTGTCTCAGTGGCTCATGCCTATAACCCTAGCACTCTGGGAGGCCAAGGTGGGAGGATCACTTGAGCTCAGGAGTTCAAGACCAGCCTGAGTGACACTGACACCTCGTCTTTACTAAAAATAGAAAAATTATCTGGGCATCATGGCATCCACCTGTAGTCCCAGCTACTCGAAAGGCTAAAGCAGGAGGATCCCTTGAGCTCAGCAGTTTGAAGCTACAGTGAGCTATGATCACACCATTGCACTCCAGCCTGGGTGACAAAGTGACATTCTATTCCCCCTTAAAATTTCCATCTTAGACAATGTGATAATCATGAAATCTCTATGTGAGAAAGAAAAGAGGGAAGTTAACATACAATGAAGATCAACAGTGAAGAGGGAAGTGGTGTTATCTGGCACCCTATGTCACTTATAACATTTTATAAAACAACATAGGTAAGAAAGAAGGCTAACCTACAATCAGAGAAACAAAGGTTACTGCGGCCTGTCACCGACTTAGGCCCCAGACCCCATAATCACGTTCCTTTAAGGCTCAAAATAAAGCCCCAACAGCTTAGATCTTGAATTATTTTAAAACTTAATTTCACAGATTCAAGTTGCCCTGAACACATGTGCTCTGATGAACAGCAGTTACAAGTGGGTTTGTAAAGGGGGGAAAAAAGTAAGGGGGCAAGGCCGGGCGCTGTGGCTCACGCCTGTAATCCTAGCTCTTGGGAGGCCGAGGCGGGCGGATTGCTCAAGGTCAGGAGTTCAAAACCAGCCTGAGCAAGAGTGAGACCCTGTCTCTACTAAAAATAGAAAGAAATTAATTGGCCAACTGATATATATATAAAAAATTAGCCGGGCATGGTGGCGCATGCCTGTAGTCCCAGCTACTCGGGAGGCTGAGGCAGGAGGATCACTTGAGCCCAGGAGTTTGAGGTTGCTGTGAGCTAGGCTGACGCCACGGCACTCACTCTAGCCTGGACAACAAAGTGAGACTCTGTCTCAAAAAAAAAAAAAAAAAAAAAGTAAGGGGGCAGTTCCTAAGTTGTTTACCAAGAATTTACATTGGTTCATTAAAACAGCATAAGCCATTGATTGGCCATGATTGTTCTTTGCATCAAGAATTCCAAGAACATGAACATAATGGAGGAGGGTCACATCATGCAACTTGTGGTGTCACCAAACCAACCTGGGTCCGTTTGCTTGTGCACAATGTAAGGCCAAACACCCGCCAGGCTGCCAGGTGTTTGCAGAGAAAGGTTTATTGCCAACCGGATGAGCAACCATACAGAAGTCTGGCTCAAACCTGTCTCCTCCAGCTGGGGCTTAGAGAAGGTTTTAAGGTCACAGGTTGATGAGGTGTGATCTGATTGGACCTTGGATCCTGTGTCTTCCTAATCCAGCCCAGCTCCTCAGTGTGAGCACTCAGGTTCTACCCGTGATTCATGCTGAGTTCATCTGGGCATGCTCAGTTTCTCTGACCTTCAACCCGGGAGTCCACAGCAACTGAAAAATAAGTCACAACTTAGTTACATAAAAATGAACCATGGCCGGGCGCGGTGGCTCATGCCTGTAATCCTAGCACTCTGGGAGGCCGAGGCAGGCGGATCGCTCAAGGTCAGGAGTTTGAGACCAGCCTGAGCAAGAGTGAGACCCCGTCTCTACTAAAAATAGAAAGAAATTAATTGGCCAACTAACATATATAGAAAAAATTAGCCGGGCATGGTGGCACATGCCTGTAGTCCCAGCTACTAGGGAGGCTGAGGCAGAAGGATCGCTTGAGCCCAGGAGTTTGAGGTTGCTGTGAGCTAGGCTGACGCCATGGCACTCACTCTAGCATGGGCAACAAAGCGAGACTCTGTCTCAAAAAAAAAAAAAAAAAAAAAAAGAAATGAAAAATGAAATGAAAAAAGAAAATGAACCAGGCCAGGCTTGGTGGCACACACCTGTAATCCCAGGCTTTGGGAGGCTGAAGCAGGAGGATCACTCTAGCCCAGGAGTTTGCAGTGAGCTATGATCACATCATTGCGCTCCAGCCTGGGCGATAGAGGGAGGCATTGTCTCAAAAAATAAAAAAATAAAATGTTGAACCAGATTGTCTGATGTGGTAACAATTTTAGGAAATTTATCAGGTATTCTGGAAAGTATAGGGAAGGAAATTAAAAACAAAACACCTTTAAATAATTTCCCTGGGACATGAGTACAGGGATGTTACTGAAGTCTCAGGCTCACATCTCTCTGGGCCTGATGAATTTTCCAAACCTCAAGTCAACTGAAGAATCATGAACCTCATAAACTTGGGAAGGACAGCTTCATTTCTCATGGAGGATTGCAGCCTACAGCATTGCCATTCTGTCAGGCAGGGAAGCACGGCCTCGGGCAGAAGCCAAGTGCAGGCACTTGGAGGAAACAGGAACTTATACTGAGCAGGGTAGATGCTATTAGGTTATTAAGTATGAAATGTCCGATTTCTTTAAGTACTAAGTTTGACAGTTGTTATCTCTGACATTTCACTTTGACATTTTTTTGATTTTATATTTATCGTGAAGGGACATCCTCAGTCTTTCAAATGCACATATTTGCTTCTGATTATCTTTCCAATTTTTAGAGCAATTTTTGTGAAACCATGGATAAGTAAAAAACTCATGTTATTTTCATATATGAGTTCTGTCATGGAAACAAGGCAATGCAGACAGTTCAAAATATCAATGAGGTGTTAGGGAAGGATGTGGCTAATGAACACACAGTACATCCATGGTTTGAGAAGTTCCCTTCTGGTGATTTTAATCTTGAAAATGAGCCACGTGGGCAACCTGAGACCAAGGTGAATAATGATGAGCTGAAAGCTGTAGTGGAAGCGAATCCATCTCAACCTACCTGTGAATTAGCAGCAAGGTTTGACTTACTATTCCAACAATATTGGACCATTTGAAACAGATCAGCAAGGTACATAGACGCTACATAGATGGGCACCACATGCATTAAATGAGCATCAGAAGAAATACTGTCTCGAAGCTTGTCTTTCTTTGCTGTCACAACGTAAAAGTGAACCATTTCTATACCGTATTGTTATATGTGATGAAAAATGGATTCTTTTTGACAAGCGCAAGCATTTGGCACAATGGTTGGATAAAAGATGAAGTGCTGAAACACGGTCCAAAACTGAATATTCATCAGAAAAAGCTAATGGTCTCTGTTTGGTGGTTCAGCACTGGTATTATCCACTACAGCTTCATGAAACCTGGTCAATTGATCACAGCGGAAATCTACTGCAACCAGCTGGATGAAATGATGAGGATTCTTGTGATTAAGCAGCTGAGATTGGTCAACAGAGCCAGACCAATCCTCTTGCAAGACAACGCTCGACCACACGTCCCACAAACGACGCTGCTCAAACTACAGAAGCCAGACTTGGAAACTCTCTGTCATCCACTGTATTCAACAGACCTTGCACCAACTGACTACCACTTCTTCCAGCCTTTGGACCACTTCTTGCAAGGAAAAATATTCAGTTCTCAACAAGCTGTGAAAAAAGCCTTTCACAATTTCATCACCACTCGCTCTCCAGGCTTCTTTGCTGTTGACATAAACAAGCTACCATTAAGATGGCAAAACTGTGTCAATAGTTTAGGTGCGTGCTTTGATTAATTGTACTGTTTCTTGTTTGAAGTACAATAAACTACACTTCTGATTTGAAATCGGACATTTCATACTTAATGTCTATATCTATGCAACAGTATAGAAGGAACTATGAACATTTATAAAGAGGCAGTTCACACATGCGTTGTAGGCTAACATGTATGCAACACAAGTCCCAAGATCACTCTGGGGTGGAGACTTAACATTTAAATGTCTTACAATTAGGCCCTGTGCATCAAAAGGTGAAGCAGAGGACTTGGAGTCCCTGTGTGTGCAGCCCCCATAGACTGAGCAGAACCCCTCTGCGGTGGGTGGTCTCTTACCAGGAAGGACCGCTGGTCAGTATACCGAAAATACAAAAATGGAGGTGCAGTCAGGAGGTTGGTTGAAACCAGGGTGAGGCAAACCCTTCCAAAGGACTGTTTTCTGTGTGGCCCTTGGTTTCTGCTTAGCAAGGACCGGGTACAATGAGGTGTATCTGACCTCCCGCCCCTCATGGCCTGGAACTCAAATTCAATATTTTTCTGGGGTCACTTTGACAAAGACGGGTCCATTCCCTCTGTTAGGGGTTTTTTTTATTTCTCACTCCTATTCCTTGGAGTGCTCTGCACTACTTTTCTTTCTCCACCCCCACACTGACTTCAGTGCAAGCTTAAGGTGGTGTTTGTCGAGGCATGGTCTGGACCAAGCGAGATGCGCTAATGACTTCTTGTTACAAAAAAATAACACACGCTTATAATTCTTAGTGCTGTTATTATCGGATATTGCTGCAATGCCTTTGCAGCCCTACGGCTCCGGGTTAACGAGGTGGCGTGACCTGGGGGGAACTCCTCCCACGCTTGGGCCTCAGTTTCCCCACTGTACGTGGAAGATGCGGGTCCCCGGCCCCCAGAGCCGCTGTAAGGCTGAGCCTGGAACAGCCCAAGGCGGGTGGGCGCGGGCAACCGAGCAGGCCCCTCCGGCCGCGGGCGGTGCTACCCCGACAGCGGCCCCCCAGTTCGCGTTCTCATCCCCAACCCGGACCCCGGTGAGACCCCGGGCTTGGCCCCGCCGGACCCTCGGCCGCCGACCGCGGACACGGCTCGCCAGGGCGGCGGTCCTACTCCGGTGCGGGCCAGCAGGTCGCGCGGAACCTCACGCACGGTTCTGGTTTCCAGCCAGTCGCGGAGAGAAGAGCACTTCCGGCGACTAGAGCACGCGTGAGGGGTCGCTTCCGGGGTCTCCTCCCGGGCCGATTCGGTGCGGGCTCGGGGCCGGTTCGGGCCGGAGCCCGTGCTGCGCGGCGGGGCCGCGGGCGGGCGGGCTTCTCGGCGGCCGCCACCCGGAGGGGTCGGGCCCGGGCCCGGGGCCTTGCCGGGTGCCGCGATGGCGAAGGTCCCCGCGTCCACGCGCGCCCCGAGCAACCCCGTGGCGAAGCCGGGGCTTGTCCCGAAGCTCGCTCGGAAGAAAAACAAGAAGAAAAAAAAGTTTTGGAAAAGCAACGCGCGAGGAGCAAGCGCGAAGCCGGGAAGCGCCGCCGGTGTTGCGGCGCGACCTCCGCAGGCGCCGGAAGACTTTTCTCGAAACTGGAAGGCTCTGCGAGAGGTGAGACCTGAGAGGCCCGGCGCTCTCTGTCCGCTTCCTGCAGGACGCCGGGAGGGGAAGGCGTGGGGGCCCAGAGAGGACCCGGGAGGCCAGAACTCAGTAATCAGAGCCCGTCTCTGGAAAGGGGCCTGCGACGGGGGAGCAGGGGGCCGCAGACGCGCGATGCAGAGGATCCTAGCAACACCAGGGGTCTTTGAGTAGATGGCCATTGATGAGAACTGTCCCCGTTTTTGAGCTCTTAGAATGTGCAGTCTGCTCGGTATGCATGCTCTTATGTAGTCCCCATACATACCTGCTCTGTGAGGTAGATACTTCTGTCATCTCTGTTTTGCAGATAAGGTAATAGGTCCAGAAATGGGAATAGGCCCATCATCTGAGATTGGAGCTGGAAACCGGCACTCTAACCCAGGCAGGCCGGCCCTGGAGCCCTGCTCTTGATGCGGGGCTGTGCCGGGTGCCTTGGTAGGCAGGAGCAGCCAGTGCTTCTGCTCGGGTTTCTCCCTGCCACATACTCTCCCAGGGGCTTCACTTGCCTTGTCACCACGTCACAAGTTGGAGCTAGCTACTGTTAGTAGCCTTGTTTTCTAGGTAAAGAAACTGAGGCACAGAGAGCTTCAGAAACTTGGCCTAAGGTCACACTGCTAGGAAATGTCGGGACTGGGATGCGGATTCACACCTTGTGCCTTGAGTTTGTGCTCTTCACTGCTGTTGGCCTTCATGTGTCTTCTGCAGTGTTCTGGAGTAGGTTATGGAGCTTCAGAGTGAGCCACAGAGAGAATAGAGAACTTCTTGAGCCTGCTGTCACTGTGCCCACTATCTTAAGGTGGATATTCTTAGTAATTTTCCTGTCTTGACACACAGGACCCACAGTTCCCACAGGCAGCCGCAGGGTCCTCTGTGATTTGAGCACCATCTCCTCCTCCTCCCACGAAAGAAAAGCAAAATTAAGTGAACAGAAGGGATGTTTACTGTAGGGAAAACTGAGTTTTTTCTAATTCTTGCAGGGAAGTCAATCTTTCCTTTTTTTTTTTTTTTTTTTTTTTTTGAGATAGTGTTGCCCAAGCTAGAGTGCTGTGGTGCCAGCCTGTCTCACAGTAACCTCAAACTCCTGGGCTCAAGCGATCCTCCTGCCTCAGCCTCCCAAGTAGCTGGGACTACGGGCATGTGCCACCATGCTCAGCTAATTTATATATATATATATTTTTTTTTTCTAGTTGTCCAGCTAATTTCTTTCTATTTTTTTTTTAGTAGAGATGGGGTCTTGCTCTTGCTCAGGCTGCTCTCAAACTCCTGAGCTCAAACGATCTGCCCACCTCAGCTTCCTAGAGTGCTAGGATTACAGGCGTGAGCCACCTCGCCCAGCCAATCTTTCCATTCTTTAACTGTTATGGGAACAAGTAGAAACCCTCCTCATCATCTCTCAGCTGCTTGCTGCGTCCCAGGGTCTTAACTGAGGTCAAGAACAGCCTAGCTAGGGATTTGGGCACAAGGTGGAAGCTGGGCTCCAAGGCCACAGATGGCTTTGCCTGCATGAGAGCCAGGCGTGGCCCCCACCTGTTCTTCCGCCTCCTCCAGTTTGACAGAGCTTTTCTTTCATTGAACACACCCCGTAACAAACCAAGAAATCTTCTAGTGGAAGTAGTTTCCATGCACCAGAGTGTTGGCCTAAGCTATGAGAGAAGTAACTCTAAAATTAACTGTAAATTAACTGAAAGAAAAAAATGCCAGTTCGGTGGCTCACGCCTGTAATCCCAGCACTGTGGGAGGCCGAGGCAGGTGGATCCCTTGAGCTCAAGAGTTCAAGTCCAGCCTGGGCCAGAGTGAGACCCCATCCCTACAAAAAATAGAAAAATTAGCTGTGTATGGTGACATGTGCCTGTAGTCTCAGGTATTCGGGAGGCAGGAGGATCACTTGAGCCCAGGATTTTGAGGTTGCAGTGAGTGACACCATGGTGACACCACTATACTCTGGTCTGGGCAACACGGTGAGACCCTGTCTCAAAGAAAGAAAAGTGGGGAAAGGCTGTTTATCACCCCTCAGGCTCACAGTGAAGCAGTCCGTGGTGTTTAGTCACTTAACAGGTACATGACGAGTAGAGTATAAGTTTGAAATTTTGTAGGAACGAAGGAGCCCATGTAAAATTGTATATTAAGATAAGCAAAGAGCAGCATTTCCCCAAAAGTGACTCATGGGTGAGTATGAAAAGGGGCTTTTTCCAAACCATTTGAAAACCAAATTTCAGTGATGCTGTAGGAAGTGTGTATAGATGACTGACGTGTGTGGGTATGCCACACACGTTTTTTTCAATCTGTTGTGTATAATTTCCAAACTAAAATGGAGCATGTATTTTATTTTGGGTCCCCTTAGCTGCTGAAAGAAAAATCTCAGGCCCCAGAAAAGCCTCTTGTTATCTCTCAGACGGGTTCCAAAAAGCAGCCTGAGATTATCCAGCGAAACAGAAAAGAGATCTCAGATAAAGCAAGGAGAGATGAGAAGTCGACAGAAAAAGGGCAAGAGGCCCCCGGGGGCTCTATTCCTGCAGGATCCAGGGTGGACCGGAAGGTGCCAGTACCTCCCAGGAAGGCCAGTGGAGCACAGCACAGTGAGAAGGGAACCAAGAAAAGGACAAATGGTGACATTTTTCCAAAACGAGGGGATATCAAGCATAAGAAGCGGAAAGCTGAAGAGGTGGCAGCCTCGGCCCCAGCCCTACCCACTGAGTAAGTATTGACGCCTGTGCCTGAGCCTCAGCCCAGCCGACAGGCACAGCTCCTGCCGCCCGGCCTCGGTCTTCCTCGCCACTGAGAATAAAGGCGCAGCAACTTCTCCACCTAGGACTCGTCTCCGCAGAGGCTGGGTGGTGGGCAGCCCCACCGCAGCCCTGCCCTCACCTTCCGCTGACGTGGTCTGTGTCTTTGCTTGCTGCTTGCTTTCTCCTAGAGTGTAGGCATACGGAGGGCGGGGCGTTGCAGTCACTGCTGCGGCTTCCAAGCCTAGGACAGAGCTTGGCGCTTAGGGGCCGCCAGTAACAATTTGTAAAACGAATGAGTCCAAACCCAGAATGAATGGAATGCGAGACCCATCCCTGCTTCTTGCCAGTTGGGGGTTTGGGGGCAAGTTCCTGATATCCTCTGCACCTCAGTGTTGTCATCTGTGATGTCACCGGATTTGTGAGATGGCTCGGTGCCTGGTGGGTACTTAACAAACACTGTGATGGTCCTCCCACAAGGAGGACCAGGAGCCAGTGGCTTTCTCCAAATGGCTCAGCTGGAGGTGACATAGGCTGGCTTCACGTCCCCTGGGTGTTCAAGACACAGTTGCTCAAGGGTGAAGGGAGGAGCAGGCCGCGCCTCCCTGCCGGGCAGCCTTCCAGACAGGCCTTCAGCCAGGCAGTCCTGCTCCTCACTGGCTGGCCGGCGGGCAGGAGACGGCCAGCCGCGATACTTCAGTCCGCAGGTGCGGTCAGGATAAATGCGTGAGGGAGACGGTCACGGGAGCACGAGAGGAGCATGTCCACTCGGTGGGGTCGGACAGACCTTTTCTAGGGAAATGACACTTAAGCTGAGTCCAAGAGGCGGACCTCAGCCGGCAGGTGTTTATATACCTGCATGGGCGTCCACATAGAGCGGGCCAGCTGCGAAGACATCAGCAGTCGTACCTTGGTGGGGTTCTGTGTTTCCATTGTATGTGGTGTGTATTTGTGTTTCCAGATTGTTTGACAACGAACCTGTTACTTTTGTAATTAAAAAGGAAACATTAGATTCCACCTCATGGTGGGTTGTATGTGTCTGTTTTATATTCTGTATGTTTATCTGTAGTTCCTAAATCTTAGATGATAAGCATATTTTCTAATCTAAAAAAAATGATGAAAGTGCTGAGATGATCAAAACAACGGGAGCAGCCTCTGCATCCCTCCGCCCGCCACACCACCAGCCTGCCGGCACGCAGTGCCACCCCGCGGCTGGACCGGCGCCTTCTGCTGCTCAGCCTGTTCCTGTCTTTGCCTTGCAGGGACGACATCTGGTTTGATGATGTGGACCCAGTGGACATCGAAGCTGCCCTAGGCCCAGAGGCAGCCAAGATAGCAAGGAAGCGGCTGGGTCAGAGTGAAAGCGGCATCACCCTCGTGAAGGAGCAGGCCTTTGGCGGGTACGCCGGGCTGGGGACACGGTCAGCCTCGAGGGCAGCGGGGGCTTGCGGGGAAGAGGATGAGGGCCTCTCCTCCAGTCGAGTGGAGCGAGTGCCTCCCGTGATGCCACTAGCAACCGTGACACACGGAGCTTGTCACGTGGGTGGGAAGTAGTGACAGGCCCTGAGTGTTTCTGTGTGTGTGACACTCAGTCTGTGGTCCCTTTGGGTGTGACCTGGCGTCCTGGGTCCTGCGGTGTTTGTTAGCTGCAGCCTTTGGTTTCCCTTCAGCCTGACGAGGGCCCTGGCCCTGGACTGCGAGATGGTGGGCGTGGGCCCCCAGGGGCAGGAGAGCGTGGCCGCCCGCGTGTCCCTCGTGAACCAGTACGGCAGATGCGTCTATGACAAGTATGTCAAGCCGACTGAGCCCGTGACAGACTACAGGACCGCGGTCAGCGGGATCCTGCCCGAGCACCTCACACGGGGTATGTGGCGAGCACAGAAGGGAAGATCACAACTGGATTCACCGCCTCCTTTTGTGCCCTGTTCTGTTCGGGAGCATTCTCCATAGCAACAGTCCTGACACATCTTTCCTCCCCCCGGGGTGATGGGTTTGAAATACAAGAGGCAGCTGCAGAGGCCCTGATGCCATCTGCATCTCGTGCTTGTGCCTGTCACCCACCGCCTTTAGGGCGAGGACCGTGGTCCTGAATTGCTGTGCGTTGTGCAGCAGTGGGGGCCAGGGTAGAGTGTTAGGGGACCAGGAAGGAGCCCCCTCGGCTAGGGAGTAGGGCACGAGGAGGGAGGTTGCGGTGTACTCCTGTGAGGACTCCGGGAGTCCCTAGGGAGGCAGGTCATGAGCAGTGAGAAGCTTGGTCTGACTTAAGGTCTGGCAGGTTCCCTGTGGCCGCAGCATTAAGAACAGACAGTAGGGCCATGAGGGTGGAAATAGGACAGCTTGTTAAGAGACAGGGACTAGTGGTGAGACCTGGGTCAGGGAGGTGGCTGTTAGAAGTGACCCAACCCGGATACAGCTGAAGGCCGAGTCTGTCTATGGGTTAAGAGGTGAGGGCGTCCAGGATGGCCGAGGCCAGGCAGTCTCTCCTTACGCTCCCTTCTCTGCTTTGTCTGGTGTACACGGCTACTCCTCAGAACAGGAGACTGCCCAGCGCCTCTTGGTTCCCTTCCAGGGGGCGGGGACACTGGTCCTGCTTGGGTCAAACCACCCCCGGTCTGGTCAGCTCTGGCTGGGGCGGGCAGAGTCACGTGGGGCAAGTGTGGTTGCCGGAGCCCCTCCCTGTGTGTGTAGGGGATGGGAGGAGCTCCCACAAGTGTGATTGGAGGTGGGGTGGTCCCCAAAAGGTCCCCAGAAAGTGGGCAGAGCTGCCTCCGGGGCAGCGTGTATCCCACTGTTCGTGGGGGGGGCAGTCTTGTTATTTCCATTTGGAAGCCGTGAAGTATAAGCCCTGGCTTTTTACTATGAAATTGAAGTCAAACTGCTCTGTCAGATGGCTCTGAGAGTTTCTAAATGCTACTCTCAGCTAGTGTGGTCCTTGGGCCACAGCACAAGTGTGCAGACGGGGGCCAGTCCTCGGCCCTGTGCAGGGCTGTCTTCCTCCTCGCCCTAGAGGGGCCCTCACAGCCGCGCCTGCCAAGGCCTGTGAGGCACTTCTCCCCAGTGGCTTCAAGTCGCCCTTCGTGTGGCCTTTCAAGCTCAGCCTGCTTTCTTCGGTCTGACTGGGGTGGGAAGGGCCTCCCTCTCAGAGCATGATGGCGGTTTGTGTGTTGCTAAAAACCGCTTGCTTGTTCTGATTTTTCAGGAGAAGAATTTGAAGTTGTTCAGAAGGAAGTGGCAGAAATGCTGAAGGGCAGAATTCTGGTTGGACATGCGGTGCATAATGACCTAAAGGTACTGGGTGTTGGGGACATCCTGGGAACTTGGGGCGCACTGGCTCTCCCATGCATGTTATTATCACATGACCTTTGTGTGCTCTGTCTGCAGAAGCGCCATTGTGGGAGTTAAGAGGTTTCTCTGAGTGGGCGCCCTGTGTAGGGAGGACTCTAGAGATGACCCCAAACACTGCTGACTGGTTCTGACCCTGTGCCAGGAGCCACGCAGGCTCCTATTCTGAGAGCCCAGCTGGACTGGGGTTCCAGTTCCAGAGCGGCCGGCAGCCCCGCTAACGGGCAGTGACACAGGCTGGACGTGGCACTACTGTGCGCCTTTCGCAGGACTCTTCCTTCACCTGGGGGACAGCCTAACACGCAGTCCCACTGCGACCAGGGCTGCTCACACAGGAAACCGCTCACACTGGCCGTGCTCTGTGGCTTGTCTGAGCCTCACTGTGGCGTGGGGGCTGCCCTGTGTTCTTCCTGGCGTCCCAAGTACTGATTCAGGACACCAGGACCCTGGGCAGGGAGGGCGCCACGAGGCAGGAGGGCAGTCCCCGCCCGTGTCCCGGGAGGCAGGAATGGGGAGTCTGGCGGAGAGAGAGCGCACGTGCCAGCGAGACAGTGCAGGAGAGCACGTGTGGCTACTGGGAGCATGTGTATATGTGAGAATAGGGGAGGGGTCACTGAAGTTCAGGGACAAATGTCTGGTTTGTTTAAAACCAGCAGTGGGGCCGGGCGTGATGGTGTGAGCCTATAATCCCGGCTATTCAGGAGGTTGAGGCGGCAGGATCACTTGAGCACAGGGGTTCAAGGCCAGCCTGGATGATATACGGAGCCCCCATCTTTGAAAAGAAGGAAAACAGCAGGAAAAGAGGGGAGCCTGGCCTGCTGGGTGGGGGAGATGCCTCTCGGTCCCTTCTAATGCATAGCGGCAGCTTTTGCCATACCATTCCCGTTATGGCGCTTTGTACCATGGGTCTCATTATATAATAGGTGTCATTTAATTATTTAAAAAATGTCTACAGTGATCATGCTGCTTTTATAGTTGGTAAAACTGAGCCTCGGTGAGGTTAAGTGGCAGCCACAGCATTAGTGTGGTAGCCATGCCCACCCAGACCCAGCGCCAAGTCTCCTCCCCTCTGACCTCGTGCGTTCCTCGTGGGCAAAGCCAGGCCGCTGCCTCTGTCTGTGGCTGGCACTGCTGGGCAGTGTTCCTCACGCAGCCGTTCTGGGCTGGATTTGCCTCTCGCCTCACTGGCCAGCCCACCTCGGCCAGCTCAGCAGGCGGCAGAGGGGCGGCTCAGAGGGAATCTGAGAGGGTCCACTTCCAGTGCCACCGGGGTGTGGCCTCCGGTCTCCGCTCCCTCAGGGTCCCTGCTGATTAGAACAGCCTGGGCAGGCAGAATGGGAGGTTGTCCTAACAAAACGTCATTGCCCCCAGAGACTGCCACAGAACCTACCTGTCCTTCCCTCCTGACTCTGGCCCCACTCTGGTAACTTGTGCAGACTTGTTTTAAGTCTCTTGAAGATTATGCTAAGGCTGCAAGGTCAGCTGTTAAGATTTGTTATCGTTTCTAACTTCCTGATGTGCAGAGCCAACTCAATATACAGGACTAAGTCGGTTGCTGGTTAATTGGTGACTGTCTTTCTCCTATTTCCTTTTTTTTTCCAGACAGCATCTCACTCTGTTGTCTGGGCTAGAGTGCCCTGGCATCAGCCTAGCTCACAGCAACCTCAGACTTCTGGGCTCAAGCAATCCTTCTGCTTCAGCCTCCGGAGTAGCTGGGACTACAGGCATCTGGCTAATTTTTTCTATATATTTTTAGTTGGCCAATTAATTTTTTTCTAATTTTAGTAGAGGTAGGGTCTCACTCTTGCTCAGGCTGGTCTCGAACTCCTGACTTTGAGCAATCCTCCTGGGTCCCGCCTCGGCCTCCCAGAGTACTAGGATTACAGGCGTGAGCCACCATGCTCTGCCTCTCCTATTTTCTTGATTTCAAGATTTCATTAATGTGATTCTGACTGTTGGGCATTACCTTAAATCAATGTGATAAATTTCGGCCAGGCACTGTGGCTCACACCTATAATCTTAGCACTCTGGGAGACCGAGGCAGGCGGATCACTCGAGGTCAGGAGTTCGAAGCCAGCCTGAGCAAGAGCAAGACCCCGTCTCTACTATAAATAGAAAGAAATTAATTGGCCAACTAATATATATAGAAAAAATTAGCCAGGCATGGTGGCGCATGCCTGTAGTCCCACCTACTCGGGAGGCTGAGGCAGAAGGATTGCTTGAGCCCAGGAGTATGAGGTTGCTGTGAGCTAGGCTGACGCCACGGCACTCACTCCAGCCTGGGCAACAAAGCGAGACTCTGTCTCAAAAAAAATGTGATAAATTTCTCCCAGAAGTGCAAGTTCATATCAATACCTTTTTCCCATGTGTGCGTGTTATAGACTGGGATTCCCCATTAGATGTTATTTGCTACAAACTTAAAATGAAAATGGTTGTTATATTTTCTTCCAGGTGCTGTTTCTTGATCATCCAAAAAAGAAGATTCGGGACACACAGAAATATAAACCTTTTAAGAGTCAAGTACAGGTACTTAAGACGAGTGAGACTCAGCATGTCACACTGCCGTCGTGCTGCTTCACCTCGTTGTTGGTTCTGTCCCTGGTCACTGACTTGTTGGTTAAAGGGTTTTTGTTTTGTGTCTGTTTTTCCTTTAACTTTAGAAGGAATCTTAAAAGTGGAGTTCCACCACGAGACTGTGACGGGGACACGTTCTCCCCGCACTGACCTTTGCTAGGTCTCTGAGTAGGGCGTGGTCCCGTCGCCTGCGCTCCAGCAGGTGCTAAGAGCAGAGCTGCTCCTCTTGAAATAAGAGGGGCCTGGGGGCGGGAGGTGGAGGTGCTCACTCCTTCCCTGGCCCCCTGCTCCGTTGGCCGATTTGGAGGGTGTCACCAGCCCCCCGTGGCTGGCCTGGGTGGGGGCTCACTGCCGGTGGAGTGGCCACTCGGGCAGGGTCTGCAGAGGCTCCTGAGCCATCACGCTGTGTGCTGTCTCTTCCTCCCTTGCAGAGCGGAAGACCGTCTCTGAAACTGCTTTCAGAGAAAATCCTGGGGATCAGGGTCCAGCAGGCAGAGCACTGTTCAGTAAGTATGTCCTTGGATTTGGGGCAGTCCCTGACCTAGAAACCCAGCTATGTGTCAGCTGATGGCAGACACAGGTGAGGCCTGGGCACCTTTTTTAGGAGGCTATTGTCTGAAAAAAATGAAATGGCAGAGCAGACTTACAAAATGTTGATTCAAATCTAAATATTTACATGGAACACTTAACACAAACTACTATATTGTGAGTGTCTGGTGGAAAAGTCACCAGTCTAAATTGAAGGCCCTCTAGGACCAGGCGCCCTGGGCCAGCTCTGCTTTTGTAGGACGAGTCGACCCTGCAGCGCTCTCCACGCTTCAGGCCCTTTCTTCCCGTCTGCTTGGCCCTCGTGGCTCGTCTGCGCTCTCAGCCCACCATCCCTCTGCATCCATAAATGTCATCTGATGAGCCCAAAAGGCGACATGTTTGTTGCTTCCCTTCTCTGGGTTTCCCTTTCTTCTCCTGCAGACAGGAGCGTCTGTGTCATGAGGTGCAGTGATGACCAGGTCATTGCCCCAGCTGCTTCACGCTTCCTCCCTCACCCTCCTGCAGACAGGAGCGTCTGTGTCATGAGGCGCAGTGACGACCAGCTCATTGCCCCGGCTGCTTCACGCTTCCTCCCTCACCCTCCTGCAGACGGCAGGCGTGCACACGCCTTGCACCCCGGCACGGGCTGGCGTGAGGGGCTCTGATGTGGAGCTGGCTCTGGGAGGCCTGCAGGGACAGTTGGTGTTCTGTGTCTCCCAGGTTCAGGACTCGCAGGCAGCCATGAGACTCTACGTGATGGTGAAGAAGGAGTGGGAGAGTATGGCCGGGGACAGGCGCCCCCCAGCAGCTGCTCCAGACAGCCGCACCGACAGCGCCTGACAGACCCTGCCCTGCTGCCGGCGCTGCCCTTCCTGCTGTCCTGTGGTGGCTCTGATCCCGAGGCAGTGTGACCAAAGCAAGGGGACACATCAGGCCCTCCCAGATCAGCTGCTCTGGTGGAGCGCGGCACGCACGTTCCTGAGCACGTCCTCAACTGTGGTCTGAGACCTGGCCTCACCGCCGTGTGTGTTCAGGGGCAGGATGGCAGGGACGCAGTAGGGGAGGAAGTTGGCAGGTTGGCGCCGCCACTGTCTGCTGAGCACCAGAGCACAAGCGGGACGTTTGGGCTGTCGGCCTGTCCGTGCTTCCATTGCCCATCCGACGGGCTGTGGTGGGATTCGCCCTGGGTCCACCGGCGGAATGTGTCCTGGGTGCTCAGCGTCTTCCTGTTGTCTGGGTGACGTGATAAGCTGGACTTGAGGGACGCAGGTGGGGCCTGCGGTTAGCTACCAAGACGTGGCCGGCCAGGACAGCAGCTGCTTTGCTGGGGAGCTTCCTGTGGCCCTTTGGACGTTGCGAGGCTTTCTGGGGGCAGGTGTTCCTTTCTCACTCGCGTTGATCCAGTTGGCCCAGTGTTGGCTGGTGGGCGAGTACCTCCAGGAGCTTCTCCCCACGCCATGACAACCTGCAGAGCCTCAGCCCCCGGAGGTTGGTGGGCCTGCTGGCCTTGGGCTTATTACTGGGAAAGCCATGTGAGCCCTCATGGGCCACTGCACTGATAAAGGGAATAAAGCCTCAGGGTTTCTTGAGTTGCCCAACAGCCATATAAAAACAGGCCAACCTCCTGAGGACATTATTTGAAATAGATGCAGATGTTTGCTTCGCATGCACTGTGGAGGTCTGGCGTCGTCCCTCATTGGAATGGTCTGAAAGGGCCCTGTGTCCAGACCGCTGCCCAGCCCCACCAGCAGCAGGGTTTGTGTAGATGCAGGGTGGAGTGCCCCCACACTGGCAGTCACGGCCTGTCTCCGCGAACAGTGGAGGCACACCAGGAACGGCCTTGGGTCTCTTTATTAGTCCCTTCAGAGTGTAAGATACACATACTGGTCCCAGTGACCATTTTTCTCTGCCCCCCCCCCCCCCCCCCCAGGAAAACGTCGCCTCCACCACTGGGCAGCTCTGGCTATGCAGGGAAAGGAAGGGCGGGCACTTCAGGGCAGGGGGAGAGGGCACTCGTGGAGGAGGGGGTCCTGTGGGGTGCCTGCCTCCTCCCTGGCACCAGCGCCTGGCGGCTTCCTTTCCAAGGGACAAGGAGGTGTGTCTGATACCGCCTCCAGCCTCAGAAGCGCTTGCTCCACGTATGAAATCAGCTCCTGGGAGGAGGAAGCAAGCGGGGCAGTTTCAGGTCTGGAGCACACACTTGTGTGACTTAATCCGCTGATGATGGACAGGAAACGTTCTCTGAAAAGGTCTGATTGTCCCTCCCCTTTAGGATCGGTTTCGGCCCAGTCACAGACATGAGAAAATAGTCATTAAAACCACACATGTGGAGATCGAGGTCAGTTCCACATAAATTCTTATTCCAGGCCCTGGACTCGGCGCCCCCAGCTTGGGGCTTCAAGCTAGTGGGGTCCTAGTTGGCAGGAGGCCCAGCGTCACTCACCACGCTGGAGGTGAAGCGCTCCTTGATCTCCCGGGCCAGAGTGTCGATGCCGTGGGCCACCAGCTCGGGCAGGATCTCCTCTGTGGTGGAGCAGAGGTCCTGAAGCCAGGGCCCCTCCTGTGCCCACCGGGAGCCCCAGCAGCTGGCCAGCAGGACAAGGCTGGCTCCCGCCCCCGTCCCACTGGGGCTTGGCCTGAGGTTCTCGCGCCCTGTGCATCACCCTCAGCCAGGACGGCGCCTGGCACACAGTGGGCTCCCAAAAGATGCTGAATGAATGGGAAGGTCAGAGGGCTGCAGAGCCGGGGGCGAGGCCGCGCCGGGGAGCTCCTCCCCTTTCCCTGTGGGTCAGGCTGCGAGCAGGGCTGCTGTGACCACTGGCCTGCAGACGGCAGGGGCGCAAGAAGGGGTCTCACTATAGGAAACGAGGTTGGCCAGCAGCATGCAGACGCTCTCCACCACATCGGGGTCGTCCTTGTAGAGCTGGTAGGTCTCCTTGATGAGGCTAAGGCCGCTGGTGTCCCCCTCCTGCTCCACCACCTGGAAAGCCGCCAGCTCTGGGGGCAGGAGAGAGTGGGTTCCTACCCTGGTGTTCTCTGGAGGGGAACACCCTGCCTCCCTGGGAAGGAAGGTCACCCTGCTCCCCACGCAGAGCAGCACAGGCCTGGCTGCTGTGCTCTCCCCTCTGGGCCGGCTGCCCAGCCGGAGCAGAGTTGGAATGGGACCTCAGAGGGCTCATCGTAGGCTGCTGGGCACAGGTGTGCCAGGGGTGGGGGGATAGGAGGGGACAGGACCTGAGCAGGGCCGTGCAGAGCAGAGGTTAAGCCCGTGGGCTGAGTGGGAGTCAGTCCCCAGGGGTGGGGACCTTGGTCAGTCCCTAGGTTAAGTGTCCTCTGTAAAGGATTATCAGGCCTCCGTCGTGCCGTGCTTGTCATGGGGCCTAGCATGTCGTCGAGCTGAGCGACAGGCAGCGTTTGTGTGTGGGGAACTGGAGACAGAGCTGTCTCTGGAGCTGCTTTGCCAGGTTAGGACGTGCCTGCGTGCTGGGAAACCTGTGCACACGATGTGTGTTTACAGGCGAGAAGGATGGCCACGTGACAGCACCAAGCAACAAAAAGTTTACCAAACGTGTGTATGGAAGTCTCAGTGGCTATTTCTGGATGATAGAACTATAGATCATATTTAATTTCCTTTCTGGTTTTTTCTTCTGATTTTTGGTTTGTGGCAGCTGGCGAACACTACTGATGGGGCTGGGTTTTGCCCCCACCTCCAGGTGGCAGCCCTGCCCCACCAAGGCTCACCTGACACTTTGGCGAGGATGGCCAGTCCCCGGTAGGCGTTGTTCACCAGCAGGACTCTGTCCTGGCACAGGCGGATGCTCTGCAGGAGCACTGCTGCCACCGGTTCGAACTGGCTCTCCTTCATGCAGCCTGCGGAGGGGCCGGCGGCCTCACTGCCTGTGGGTCCGAGGCCCATCCCGCTCCTGGGGCCACTCCCACTCCTGAGGCCCCAGTGTGCTCACCCCGCAAGGACAGCAGCCAGAGCACCGCGCAGCCAGCCTCGGCCATTTCCGCGTCCGTGGGGTAGGTGTCCAGCACCTGGACGAGGAGGGCTGGGGCCTTCTCCAAGACCGCCTTGTCCACCGTGACAGCTGGGACCAGGACAAGGTTGAGTGGACACTAGGCTTGCGGTGTGTGCAGGAGGGACTGCTGTACATGTGCCCCCCACATGCTGCCTCCTTCCAGAGACAGCACAGACATGGGGGCGTGTCAGATGTCCTCAGAGAAGGAAGGTCAGGAGGCTTGGCCACCAAGTCTGGAGGGAAGGGATCACCCCCCGGGAGTGGCTTGGGGGACCTGTGCTCTGGGTGTTGGCAGGGCTGTCTGGGGTTTCCCGGGCAGGCCCTCCGTGGCTGAGAGCGCGCTCCTCCTCGGGCGCTGGAGTGCCCCAACAGGGTCTAGCCTAAGGGAGAGGCTGCACAGGCCAGGGGGCCCAGTGGTGAGTCAAAAATCAGAACAGGGCATCTGACACCAAGTCTGGCCTCTGGGGCCAGGAAATCCCAGGACGTTTCCCTGGGCAGGAGGCGCCAGATCTGTGACGGGTCTGCCCGCTGGACAAGAAGTCCTGAGGTCTTGCGTCCGCCAGGTCCAGCCTTTCCCTCCCCACTTTGCGTTCCTCTGCTTCAGTTCTAGGCTCTCAGAAGAGCCTCCGAGGGCCATGGCTGTCCTCAGTGTTCAAGGGACAGGGTGGGGAGGCCCCTGAAGGCTTGGGGAGCAGCTGAGGGAGAGGTGCCAGCCCCCAGCGGGACAGTGGGAGGAGGCCCCTCACCATCTGCCAGGAGGCACCAGAGCAGGCTCAGGCCATTGACGCAGATGTCCCTGTTCTCGGGAGAGCTGTCCAGGTGCTCTAGGATGTGCTCCAACAGCCCGGCCTTCAGCAGCTCCTCCGAGACCGATGCTGTGGGTGGGCCTAGGAATGAGGACCACAGACAGGGCCCCCTTCCTCCAGGAAGCCCTCCCAGAGTGCCTACTCCTTTTGTTGTCCTTGGGCACTGGAGTCCCATTTGACCTGTGCTCCTGGGCACCTGCTCTGGGCCAGGTCTCATGTACTCATGGAACCTGGGAACAAGAGGACATGGGCCTGGCCCTGGAGGAGTCTGTCCATCTCCTGGGCTGCCATTACTAGGCTGCAGCTGGCCTACGTGGCACCCCTCCAGGGGGCCTGGCCCAAACTCCTAGGCCACAAGGAGCAGCCCTGTGCCTTCCAGGATGGGACCATGGTTGGGCCCTGTCCCCGTAGGATGGCCTGATGTCCCATTTGCCGGATGGTTCTAACCTTACGCCTGTTCCAAAGTGAGACCAGTGACGTATGATCAGTTACCCAGTCCGTGTGGTGAAGACAGAGTACGGGGCCCTGCCCCTACCCCTGCCTGCCACGGGACCCATCTTCCTATGGGGAGAACAATGCCCACCTGCCTAGCGGTCAAGGTGCATAGAGCCTGTGACCTGGTCCCCTGAGCCCTCGGTATGACCCTCTTGTCCCCACAGTCCTCACGCCTGCTGTGGTCTGGCTGGCAGCAAAAGCCCAGCATGTTCTAGGGAACAGAGACACGCGGGGCATCGGCCCCCAGCCTCCCACAAGGGGCAGAAAGTGCGCGTGCGACAGACGTCAGCGTGAGGCCGTGGCCGTGCCAGGCGCGGTCAGTGCCTGCGCACGTCTGCAGAGGGAACCACTGACTAGAAGCAGAGGCTCGTCACCGAGGTGAGAAAGGAAGCCACCTGCCTTTGGAGCCGACTGACTGGAGGTGGCTCGGGAGTAGGCCTGACACCACCCTGTCCAACCAACGTGTGCCCACACCAACCCTTCCCCGCCCCATCCCGAGTTCCAGGGGGCAGGGGGGCAGAAGCGGCCGGCAGACGTACCCTGGCTGGCGATGATGGACAGCAGGCTGTACACCAGGGTGATGAGCTGCTCCACCTCGGGGTGGCTCCGCAGGATGCTCAGCAGGGTAGAGAGGACCGAGCTGTCGCTCGGAGCCTCAGCTTCTGGGTCCCGCTTGAGCGCTGCTCGGGCCAGGGAAGTCGGCCCTTAGCCTGCACCGCCGGGGTGCACAGGCAGTGCACACAGGTCCCCCCTCCCACCAGGGGACAGCACTTAGGAAAACGAGGTCTGCCTCTCCTGGCCCAGAGCAGGTCCCCACAAATGCCGTGGCCTGAGGGAGCAAAGGGGCGGCCCTGCCAGGTCTGGGGGCGTGAAATCAAGGTGTCACTGTGAAACTAGGAAGGTCACTAGGAATGTCACAATACTTTTGGCGTAAAGATGGCTCAACCTTTTTAACAACCCAAAGACTCTGCTCCCGCCTGGGCCGCAAGTCCTCTCCTGAGGACACAAGCCACCCTCCTTGAGGGCCACACCAGAGGACCCAAGAGTGTGCAGCTCATTTCGTATCTGGGAAGCACGGGCAACACTGAAGGGAAAATGATGGGGCTCGGGGAGGCCCTGAGTGTGCCCGAGGCTCCAGGGATGGGGTCGGGTGGGCACGGCAGGGCACAGGCTGCCAGAGGGCCAGACACCAGTGGGCTCACTGGCACGGGGGATGTGGGGGCACCAGGAGGGCACCCCAGCCGCCCAGTGCCCACCTTGGCCCAGGAGGTGCAGCAGCAGGGAGCAGGCGCACAGCTGTATGTCAGCGATCCTCTCGTGCTGCTTCATGACGGTGGTCACCACCTCCAGCAGTTCCATGGGCCACGGCAGACCTGGCAGGGCAGGGCGGCACAGACAGGACAGGTGGGGCATCACGCCTCTGGTGGTGAATGGAGTGGCAGAGAGAGGCGCTCGTGGGGTCTACTGTGGCCTCCGGGGAGGGCCCTCCTGTTGCTGCCCTCACTGGGCAGACAGGACAGGACAGCGAGGCGCTAGCACCGCTCTGGAGCAGAAACGGGACCAGCCTGTCCACTGCAGGGCCCTCGGCTGTGCTGCCCAGGGACGGCGTGGCTGGGTTCCATCCAGCTGTGTCAGGGACCGTGCCGTGTGCGGGGGACGGTGAGGCAGTGCTCACTGGCCTTGTCACCCCAACCAGTGTTTCCTCGTCGTCACAGGAGTGCAGCTGGCAACCCCTTCTCGGGGCTCGTGGTGAGAGTGACGAGGGGCCGGCCCAACAGCCTTCCTCAGTGTCCCCAGGAAGGCAGACTCTCCCCTGCCGTGGACGCGGTCCTGGCCCCAGCTTAGCTACACAGGGCTCGGGGTGGAGGAAAGGCCTGTGTGAGGCTCTGTCACCTCCCTGGCTGCCCCTGCCACTGAGACAGGCCCCCGTGGGTTTCAGGGCGAGTTCAGTGGCCAGGCAGGTGGCGGGATGGGTGAGTGTGGGAATGTAGCACCCAGGCAGTGAGACAGAGTGAGTGGAGAGATCTTATGAAAGCATGCTTGGGAAAAAATGATTTTAAAAATAATTAAAAAGATTGTTCCTCCTCAGCAGACGGTGTTGGGGAAAGGTGTTCTCGTGCATTCCTGACGGGGGGTGTGCAATGCAGAGCAGACTGCAGTCTCTGAAAACCGAGTATTCACGTGTAGGGTCTGTCCTACAGAAGCAAGTGCCCAGATGCGTACGCATGATAGCATTGTCCATAACAGTGGAAAGGCAGAACTCAAACCCCATCGGCGGGATGGTGGGATAGAGGGATAGAGGGGACGGCTTCCTGTGGGTCCATAAGATCACGTGAGGGAAGCCACCCGTGGCCTCACCCTTCTCTGCTCGGTGAAAGTGGTGACACGGTGGAATTCCGGGCTGCCTACTATCCGAGCACATGGCAAAGACGGGGCCCTTCTGGGAGTGGAAATACACCTCCAAGGTGTGACACCACCAGCAGGACGGCTGGAGGGGCCGGGCCCGCAGGCTGGGGGGCGGCGGGTTCCTACCTAGCTCGTCCTCGGGCATCGTCAGGAGCCTCTTCATGGCCCGGAGCTGCACCTCGGGCTGGCTGGAGAAGTTCTGCATGACCTCTGCGGGCAGCAGAGCGAGGAGCGTCCTTCCGAGGGCCCAGGCACTGGTGCTGGACGTGTCGCCTCCCCGGACCCACGCCATCATGCCACGGGGCGGGCGCTGTCACCATCCCCACTTGACAGATGCGGCCACTAGGGCCCCGGGACTTGTCCACAATCAAACCCAGCTCTCTGTCCGGGAACCCTCGACACTTGGTGCGAACTGCCGCCCGCTCTGGGCACAGACGCACACAGGAAGCGTGCCCGCGACCGCTGTGTGCCAGGGTGTGGGAGCAAAAGGCCAGGGGGTTCTGGGAGCCGGCGCTGAGTTGGCCACGGTAGCTATGGAGGATTCGTGTAGCAGAAATAGAGGGGAAATGGGCAGGGGCCGGGCGATGGAGATGTGCTGTGTGATACAGGTAACAGGGAGCTACGGAGAGTTCTTGAGTAGGGGAGTTCCTCAAGCAAAGCAATGCTTGGGGATGGATGGAGGGGGAGTCTGGAAGGTTCCCTCCCACTGGCCATGCGTGAGAAGCAAGTCCCGTGTGAGTGGGTTGGAGGGGAGGCACTGACTCCCCAGACCTGAACAACAGGCTGCCAAGGTCACAGTAGCTCCGTGGCCCCTCTCTGCTTGCGTCCCCAACCTCACCTACAATGCTGGCGATATTGCTCCCTAACAGCATGTCGGTGATGGACTCGGGCACTGTCTGCCGGTGCAGGGTCAGAGCCACGCACGAGGACTTGAACTGGTTGCTCACGAAAGTGATGTGTATCACCTCCCTGGCAGAGGAGCAGAGGCAGCCGGGTGAACGGGGTGGCCCTTCCCGCAGGCTCCCGCATGGCTCTCCCTCCCCCTCAGGCCCAGGGCTGCCGGCTGGTGCAGGCGCCGGGCAACGACCCCCAGGTTCCGAAACCCACTTGGCTGGATCTCCCACAGTGTGCCAGGTGTGTCCGGCAAGTGCCCAGCGGTCCCATTCTGGGGACTTACTCCACAGAGGCACAAGGCTCTCTCCTGGGGCCGGGGGGGGGGGTATGGTCCTGAGCCCTGGCACTGGCCTCTGCGGGCCCTTCCTCCATAAAAACATGAAAATCCAGACTTCATGATTGTTGGTATAAAGATAAATATAACCCAGGCCGGGCAAGGTGGCTCCTGCCTGTGATCCCGGCACTCAGGGAGGCCAAGGTGGGAGGGTCACTTGAGCTCAGGAGTTTGAAACCAGCCTGAGCAAGAGCAAGATCCCATCTCTACTAAAAATATAAAAAATTAGCCGGGCATAGTGGCATGCACCTGTAGTCCCAGCTACTTGGGAGGCTGAGGCAGGAGGATCACTTGAGCCCAGGAGTTTGAGGTTGCTGTGAGCTAGGCTGATGCCACGGCACTCCAGCCTGGGCGACAGAGCGAGACTGTCTCGAAAAAATACATATACATGTAACCCAGGCTGGATTCGTTGTTATATATTCACTTTTTCTTCTGAGTTTAAAATTAAGTTTTAAAACTTTTGCCTGGGCCCCTGAAGTGTGGTGGGTTCTCAGGGCCGGGCCTCCAGCGCCTGGTGTCAGCGCGGCTCCAGCCTCGGGAGAGGTGTGCTCAGGGTGACTCCCCCCACGCCGGGTCTGGGGCGGCCGCACGAGAAGCCCCGTCGTCGTGCGGGACGATGGGGGTGTCTGTGATAGAGTTCTGGCTGGTGTCACCAAGCCAGAGAGCCGTGCTTGCATTGCCGTGGAAACATGAAAGGCAAGTCGGCGGGTGAGGCCGAGCCCGGCTCTGAGCTCACCGGATGGTGATGCGATCCGAGGGGCTGATCGGGAGCATCAGGGGCAAAAGAAACACGAAGGTCTTGGCGTCTGGAATCTGCTTCTCCTCCATCGTCTGCAGGACGTCCTTCAGGTTGTCCGGGCTCTCTCGGAGGGACTTGCGCAGGTGCATGGCTTCTGTGTCCTGCGGAGACAGAGGACGCTGCTCTGTGCGTTTCCACAACTGCAGGACAACTGGGCCCTGGCCACGAGCAGAGGACGTGCTGGGAACAAGGCAGAGTGGGGAGGGGACCAGACGCTGGCCGCCACGGCCGCCACCTTCAGGAATGGCGAGACTCCCTGGGCCCGTGGCTCCTCCTGGAGGAAGGAACAGGCTGGGTGCCGTGGTGGCACCCGCAGTCCCAGCACTCTAGGAGGCTGAGGCAGGGGATCGCGCGGGCCCAGGAGTAGGAGGCTGCAATGTGCTACAACCTGCCACTGCACTCCAGCCTGGGTGACAGAGCGAGACCCCCGTCTCTTAAAATAACAAGAAAGGGAGTTTCGAAAAGCCAGCACAGTCTGCCTCACAACTCTCCTATGCAGTCCTGCCAAGCGTCCCTGCTGTGGGCCCCGCTATAGGAGGGTCGGCATGCCCACCTAACAGATGCCCAAGGTCACATGCTGCCGGGCAGGGGCTGCAGCCAGGCACTCCCAGGACATCACCTGGCCCCACAGCAGGAAGGGCGCCCTTCCCTGGGAGGCTTCGGAGGAAGAAAGTGTGACAAAGGGCTTCTCAGCAGTGGAGGATAGGGATGCTGGGGCCCAGACGGACACCTGTCCCCTCTGGGGACCTTGGTGCCTGGGTGAGGAGCCGGGGGTGCAGGGGAAATTCCTTGCACTTGGGCATGGCAGGCATGGGGCCTGGCTCCCTGACTTCTCCCCACTTTCCCTTCTGTGTGTAGAGGGCAGGATCCCAGCCTCCCTGCAGCCGGGTGGCAGCGGAGGCCTTCCCACCCCCTCCCGCCTGGAGGCTGCTGTGAGGCCAGCACATGACAGTCTGAGCGTGCCCACTGCTGTGGTCACCACTCGTGGTGCCGAGTGCCGGGGGCCGGGGGAGCCTGGACGGAGGCGGAGAGCGAGGGGACAGGAGCCCTCACATCCAGGAAGGAGCAGGTGGTCATGTCGAGGATGATGCAGCCCAGCGACCAGATGTCGGATTTCGGGCTGAAGCAGAATTTGAGGGCTTCGGGGGCCATCCAGGATTTATGGAGAGGATCTGTTGGCAGGAGCAAGATGGGGGCCCACTGAGTTCTGGGCACCCTGGGGGCAGAGGATTGACTGGGCCACAGGCCCCAGCGCTGTGCCCCCTCGGGTGCCGTGCCCCCTGGCAAGCAGCTGGAAACACATGCCCTTCAGTCGCCCTTCCTGGGAGAGGTGGAGACACAGCAGCCGTGGGGGAGGAGGAGACTGCGGTCAGCTAGACCTCTGCCCTGACCTTGAGCTAGGGAGGCTGCACGGCTCAGCGGTGCCCACCACGCTGGCCCTGTGTGCGCCCGAGTGTGTGTGCACCCCTGTTGGCTGCAGGAGGAGTCCGAAAGGGCATGTGCTGAGGTTAAAATTCACCCTCCCTAAACATCTTGACCCCTTTAAAGGTCAGGGCTTTGAGGCACAGTTCCGGCTGCCCCGCCCTGGTCTAAACCCGGACCCTAGTGGGCACCTTCCTCCGCACGAATGTTCCACTTGGCTTCGTGGGTCATCAGCTTGTTGGGGCTCAGGTCCTGCAGTTTGCAGTGGCTGCTGCCGATGAGGACGATGTTGGAGGGCTTGAGGTTCCTGAAACCAAGAAGGGGGCTCTCCTCTGGTCGCCACAGGGCTGCCTGGGTGGGCCGGGCTGGCACGCGCCCGGAGCCCAACTCCCTGCCCCCGCCCCAGCCACCTCTGCGGTGGCGGCCCGCGCCCTCCCCTCTCCTCGAGAAAACGCCCTACTCTGCCTGCCTTTTCTAATAATTGTTTCCTATAATTGGAAAATACACTTAGTTATTACACTGGGGGGAAACCCAACGACATGCAGGAACACACACGACACTCCGAGGTCCCTCTGTTAATTAACACAGTGTTCGCCTCCTTACAGATCTGAGCTACCCATTTGTCTAAGGACTGGTTTTCAGCCATTGTGTAATGTCCAGTGACATTAACGCTGAACTGTGAGCATTCCTTTGGTTGCATGTGGTCCGCCTGGTTTTTCTCTTCTTTAAATAAGATATTGGTGGCTAGGTACCATGGCTTAAGCCTGTAACCCTAGCACTCTGGGAGGCTGAGGCAGGAGGATTACTTGAGGCCAGGAGTTCAAGAGCAGCCTGAGCAAGAGCGAGACCCCATCTCTACAAAAAAATTGAAAAATTAACCGGGCATGGTGGCGCATGCCTATAGTCCCAGCTACTTGGGAGGCTGAGGCAGGAGGATCTCTTGTGTCCAGGAGTTTGAGGTTGCTGTGAGCTAGGCTGACACCACTGCACTCTAGCCAGGGCAACAGAGTGAGACTCTGTCTCAAAATAAAAGAAAAAGAAATAAGATATTGGTGTTCATAATTGGAGCCAGCTCACAGCCCCCTCAGACCACGGATTCCAGAGCCTGAGCTGTGCTGCTGGTGCCAAAGGTGGGGATGGGGCGACCTGCAGCCCACGCGGCCCCATGGCAGGAGGCCCCGTCTCTCCGCCTTGCAGGGCTGTGCCCTCGCACTTTGGAGCAGCCACCCTGGCCAGCGTGCACGCCACCCTGTTGGCTGTGCATGCTTGTCACTGGAGGCTACTGGGAGGGGGTGCCCCTCTCTCTGAGCCAGGGAGGGGTCGGGAGGGGCGCCGTCCTCTCCGGGCTTGGCTGGCCGGCACCCCTCTCCCCAGATCCCGCACACGGGCGCCGGCCCCGAGAGGGTGCCGGGCGCCTCTCTCCCGAGGCAGCAGACCAGTCCGTGAGGACGGAGGCCCGGTCACCTGTGGACGATGTCCAGCTGGTGCAGGTAATCTAGCGCGTCCAGCACCTGGCCGAGCACGTCCTGCAGCCACTGGGGAAGAAGCAGGAGACGCCAGGATGGGCGGGGCTCCCTGCGGCCGCTTTGGCGCGAGAGACCACTCAAGGCGGCAGCAGGACAGTGGCACGTTCTCTCCCTGTGTCCTGAGCCAAGCCTGACGCTGGTGAAGGGCTCGGGGCTGGCGGGCAGGCCAGAGCGAGTGCGGCTCTCAAGACAGTAGGACACATCTGCCCCGGGGGCCCCCTTCCAGACCCCACACTCCCAGCTGCCTGCTGGAGGGGATCCAGCCCTGGGACTCCCCCCCAGTGGCCAGGCTCGTGGGTTGTGGCCCACCCTGGGACGCCCCCCCCCCCCCCCCGTGGCCAGGCTCGTGGGTTGTGGCCCACCCTGGGACGCCCCCCTAGTGGCCAGGCTCGTGGGTGTGGCCCACCCTGGGACGCCCCCCCCCGTGGCCAGGCTCGTGGGTGTGGCCCACCCTGGGACGCCCCCCCCCATGGCCAGGCTCGTGGGTTGTGGCCCACCCTGGGACGCCCCTACCCCCCCCCCGTGGCCAGGCTCGTGGATTGTGGCCCACCCTGGGACCCCCCCCCCAGTGGCCAGGCCCGTGGGTTGTGGCCCACGCTGCCCTGCACCTGCTGGCAGCTGTGCCTGCAGGGAACGGATGTTGAAGCCTTCAGTGCCCGCTTGGGGCCTGCCCCTTTATGTTAACAAAATGAAAAGAGCCCTGGGAGAGAACGTTCTGGAAGCATTCTGTGACAGACACCAGATCCATCTTGCATCCAGGGCAGTGATTTTCAAGCTGCGTTCCCAGCACCCCTGGATTCAGAGCCGCCCTGGCTGTCGGGGAGGGGACAACGGGCAGGACGCTGGGCTTGCCTTGCCCCTCCTGCCGGCGGCTACGGCTGTGCACCGCTCAGGGTCCCAAGGGTGTCACCGCCAGCAGAGCGGGGCGCCCGCTCCAGGCCCACCTCCGAGGCCGGGTTGAGAGAGGAGCTGCATGCCTCGGGGGCGATGCCCCAGGCCCACCCGACAACCTTCCCTGAGCAGAGGCCGGCAGAGCCCCCCCACCGTGGGGCGGGCCACAGCCATACAGGTGAGGCGGAACCCCCAGGCTTGCAGAAGCCCGCGGAGGAGGGCGTCTTCACGACCGCAGGGCGGGAAAGGCTCCTCAGAGCAGGGCTCAGAAGGCACCAACATGGAAGCATCGCCAACGGCTTTGTGACCGTGACGCTTTCCGTCCACCAAAAGGCATCGTCGTTGCGAAAGTGACCTGGCGAAGCGCAGCCTGGGAGGAGGCGCCCGGGCCGAGTCCACACCGTGCGACACCTTCTCCCTGCAGCCTGCCCGTCGGAGCGGGCGAAACGCTTGAACAGGCGCCGCGGAAGAAATCCAAGGGCCAGGATGTGCTCGCGTGACCGCACGCCAGGAACCTGAACAAAAGCTGCCACCAACGGTCGCTGCCCGCGGGCGTTGCCATGACGGATGCAGACAGGCGCGGTGGCGCGCACCTGTGACCCCGGCACTCTGGGAGGCCTGGGGGGGCTGGGGGAGGGGGATCTCTGGAGCCCAGGAGTCCGAAGCTGCAGTGAGCTGTGGTGGTGCCAGTGCCCTCCAGCCCCGGTGACAGAGCGAGACCCTGTCTCTCAAAAAAAAGACTGATGCTAAGCACATGTTCTTAGTGAAAAGAAATAAAAATTAAAAAAAAAAAAAAGACTGACGCGATGACGTGTTGTCAGGATGTGAACCGCTTGTGGTGACAGCGATCGCTGGCTCGATCCAGCCACGCCGGGATCTGTTTGGAGCAGCTGCCGACGCTCCGCTCCCAGGCGTTTACCCAGCAAGGCTCACAGCGGCCTCGTTAGCAATAGCCCCAGACCGGGACCCGCCCACGTGCCCGGCAACGGGCACGGAGGAGCAGCCCGTGGCACGGCCACACCGTGGAGTATCAGCGAGCAGAGAAAAAGGCGACTGCCCGAGCACGAAGCATCGGGCTGAGCCGAGGGAAGCAGACGTGAGTGACGAGGGGGACTGTGGAGCCCAGCCGCGTGCGCCGCTCTGCAGGCAGAAGCCAGCCGGGCCGTGGGTTCCGACTGGGACCCCCGGGGTCCCGGGAGCGCCTTCCACCTTGACTGCGGGGCTGTGTGCGTGTCCAGCGCGTCCCGCGGTGCACGTGGGCTCTGCGACTCACGGCAGGCAGCACCTCCAGAAGATGCACAGGCAAGAAAAGGGCAAGACCAAGGCCCCAGCGGCGCCTGCCCCACGCTGCCCTCGCCCTGCCGCGGGGCTGCGGGTCACGGGGCCCTGTGGTCCCTGGGCCTGGCGTCCCAGAGGGAGCCTTACCTCAGGCTCAATGACTTCCTTCGCCTTCCTCTTGCGCTCAATGACATCGTGGAAGCTGACCTCGTGGAACTCCATCACCAGGCAGAGGAACAGCGAGGAGATCTGCTGGGACGGAGCCCTGAGCCGCCTGCCGGACGCAGGCCCGGGCCCAGGGCTTCTGTGCGGTCGCCGCTCTAGGGCCTCCCTGCACCAGGCTGGCACCCGCGGTGGGGGCACTGCCCCCAGAGGGGCTTACGCACCCCCCTCACCCAGTCCCAGCCCCCAAGCTCCGCCCACACTGAGCTGCTTGGACTTTGCTGGAAGCTGCACATGCCCCTGGAGCCTGCACACGTGGACCCCTCTGCCTGGAACCACCTGCCCCTTCCCTGGGGTGCCTGTTCATGCTCCGGTAGCCTGTCCTGACCCGGACCCCAGTCCTGCACGTCAGGGGCCCCAGCTCCGTGCTCCCTCCCCCCGTGAGACCTCCTCTGGGCCTCCTTGCACCCTCCTGAGAGCATTAGAGGTGCTCAGAGAATATCTGGGGTGTGTGAAGCGAGGGCCCCTCCCCAAGGCTTTCTGCAGGGCCCAGCTGAGGGGAGGGAAGGTGTGTCACGGGGGGACCCTTCACTCCTGCGCAGACCCTGGGCTGTCGTCCCGGCGGGCACACCAGTATGGACGTCACCCCCAGCCCCCGTCGACCTCCCTCCCTCCACCTCAGGCTCCTCCAGGGTGGCTCCTCGTAAACACGAGAACTCACACAGCCTGCGGCACGCAGCACAGGGCTTGGGGGCTGCAAGGCCTGGGTTTGAATCCCCACTCCGCTGGCTACTAGCTGTGTGGCCCTGGGGAGCTCCCTAACCTCTCCGAGCCCCAGGCCCCATCAGGAAGATGAGGACAGCACTTCCTACCCTGCGGCCCCCCAGACATGGTGATGGGCGTGGGCTGGCCACAGACTGCGCAGGGCTGCAAGAGGAAGGGGTGTCAGGTGGCTATGGAAAGTGGGGACCCTCGGCCTACGGCCAGCTCCTTCCGTGGGAGTCAAAGCTCGGCCGTCGCAGGCACGGACTCAGGACGCCCGTGGCTCCAGGACGCAGCTGGCCTTCGGCGTGGCCACGTGCTGGCAGGGCCCCGTTTCTCTTAGCCTCTGCTTCTTCTCCCATAAAATGGGATGGCAACCCCTCCTATACTGAGGTCGTCAGGGCTCACATGAGATGCACAGAAAGTCCCCGGTGTGGCGCCCGGCCGAGCCGCTGTGGAGTCAGGGCTGGCCACACTCGGCGGAGCTGCTGCACTGCCCCGCCCCGCCCCCCCCCACCCCGGGGGGTGTGCACAGTGCACCTGCCTGTGGCCCCCAGTGCCGGCACAGCCCTTGGGTGCCGGCTCTGACCCACCTCCGCGTTCCACGTGATGAACAGCTCTTTGTACACAGAGATGTGGGCGTGCCGCAGCTTCAGCAGCGGCATCATCTGCGGGAGGAGAGCAGAGGTCACGGAGGTGAGGGAAACGCCATTTCTCAGCTGGCGCTGCCCCACCGCCACCCCAGCCAAGCGCCCGGCAGGGCAGGGAGCCGGCGCGGGGTGGCCGTGCGGCCCGGGGGTTGGCAGCCGGACGGTGCAGGGAGACGGCTGTGCGGCGTGGGGCTGCGGCAGGCTCCGCCACCTCTCTGAGCCTCCCGTTCTCCTGTGAAAATGGGGGTAACGGTGGAACCTGCCTCACGGGGATGTGCTGGGGACACCGTGGGCCGGCGCGGGTAGGGCGCCAGGCACGCGGGAGAGACTGCGCAGCCAGGCTTGGTGGCGATGTGCCGCTGGAGGGAGAGGAGCCCACCCAGAGGGCCGTGCTCCCGCCCACAGCTCGAGGTGCGTTGGGAATAAACCCGAGCAGGCAGCGGGAGCGGCTCCCAGAGCTCCTGAGCCAGATGGCAGCCCCACGTGGCAGGTGGGCGTCGGTGGGCTGCCAAGTGGGACCTGGAAGCGAGTCGGCGGCGTGGAAAGCCACGGCGGCGGCACGGACTCGGTGGGCCTCCCACGCCCGTTCTTCCCACGTGTCAGAAAGCAGCCCGGGCCCGGCACTGCGCCAGCCACGGCACGGACCGAGGAACGTCGGCTGGCTGAGCTCAGGAGCCGGCCGGCCAGCCCAGAAAAGCACGCGGCTGTCCGCTACACAGGAGGGACACCGGCCTCGCGAAACGCAGAGGCGAAGCAGCAGCACGCGGAGCCTTTGTCCAGCAGACCAAGCTCTCGCAGCTGTGACGGCTGTAGACAGCGTGTCACCCCGGGCAGTCCGAATGGTCGCGTTAGGGGTAAGTTACATTTTCCTTGTTAAACAATTCTCTGTTTTTCCAAACTTTCTACTATAATTAATACTTTTATAATTGGGGGAAAAAACAATCTTGTAGAAGGTGGTTATTGGTAGATCATCCTAGGCCCTGGCCAACACGTAAACTTCGCCTTCTCTGGGAACATGTGTCCTAAACTGTCAGCAGTGGTATTTGGAAGTGAGTGTTTTGGGCATGGACTCCCTTGGTGACCTGGGGCTGCTGGCTTCACAGGTGGGACAAAACGGATTGTGATCCTCCAACCCTCCATCCAAACTTCCCTTCACCCAGTCACTCAACAAGAGAGCACAGAACGTGGGCTGTGTGTGCGGCCCCAGAGAGCAAACTGCCAGTTACCTCCTCCAGGGCCTCATTGGAATGATGCTCATCGATGCATTCCACCTACAAAGGCACAGGGCACGGGCTCAGTAAACGAGTAGTGAACCACCACCACTACCACCACCACCACCACCACCACCACCACCACCACCATCACCACCGCCATCACCTCACATCACACCACACCGCCACCACCACCACACCACATCATCACCACCATCAATCACCACCACCACCACCACATCCACCACCACACCACCACCACACCACATCACCACCACACCACCACCACATCACCACCACCACCGCCACCACCACCATCACCGCCCTCACCGCCCATCGCCACCACCGCCACCGCCACCTCACCACCATCGCCACCACCACCACCCCACCATCACCACCACCACCACCACCACCATCACCACCACACCCCACCACATCACCACCACCACACCACCAACATCGACCACCACCACCACCACCACCACCACCACCGACACCACATCACCACCACCACACACCACATCACCACCACCACCACCCATCACCACCACACCACCATCACCACACCATCACCACCACCACCACCACCACCATCATCACCACCACCACCATCACCATCACCACCATCACCATCATCATCACCACCACCATTGCCACCACTATCACCACCGGCATCATCACCACCACCACTACCAGTCACCTCATCATCACCTCCACATCATCATCATCACCATCACCACCACCATCATCACCACCATCACCACCATCACTATCATCACCATCATCATCACCATTATCACCACCACCATCATCATCACTACCACCATCACCACCACCATCATCACCACTATCATCACCATCACCACCACCATCATTATTTACCAGGGTGCCAGGCTCCCACCATTTATGGCCCTCGCCACATGGCAGAAGATGGGGCATCAAGATGTTCCTAAGGCAGAGGTCTAAAAATACTTGGAGCAATGAGAACATTTTTGCTCCAGTTGCAAGGATAACTTTAGGATAGCATAATATAAACTCAAAAAAATCAGTAAAGGATCCATTTTCAGACCATTTGAAAGCAGGGAAGAAAATAATCTTTTTGTCCCAGAGCCAACAGCTCTGTGGTGGTTGGTAAAGTATCAATCTCACCACTTCCTTCCCTATCCAAAGTGGGAGGACTGTCTCCCTGTGCTGCATGTGTGGCAGCCCCCTCTTTCCCCATGCCCTCCCTCGGGGAGGGTGAATGTGTGGAAAGGGAAGGGGGTGGTTCAGGTGGCAGAGGGGTTTGAGTCTGCAGCACACTCAGTAGCAGAAACCTGGGTACATAAACTATCGCTAGATCTAATACCAGATCCTTACCCAGAAATTTTGCTCACAAGACTTACAAATGGGCCAGGCACGGTGGCTCACGCTTGTAATCCTAGCACTCTGGGAGGCCAAGGTGGGAGGATCACTCAAGGTCAGGAGTTTGAGACCAGCCTGAGCAAGAGTGAGACCCCATCTCTACTAAAAATAGAAAGAAATTAATTGGCCAGCTAAAAATATATAGAAAAAAATTAGCCGGGCCTGGTGGTGCATGCCTGTAGTCCCAGCTACTCGGGAGGCTGAGGCAGGAGGATTGCTTGAGCCCAGGAGTTTGAGGTTGCTGTGAGCTAGGCTGATGCTACGGCACTCACGTCTAGCCTGTGCAATAAAGTGAGACTCTGTCTCAAAAAAAAAAAAAAAAAAAAAAAGGAAAAAAAAAAAACACTCCGAAAGCCTTAAAAATGTCACATTGTTTCGCCCAGTAATCTCACTCCTAGGAATTCACAGATGGTCCAAAAAATGAACCACAAGGATATTTATCAGAGTTGTTTATACGTCGTGAAAAACTGAGAGCAAGCTAAACACTCGTCCCACATGAGGGACAGGCTGGGGCACTAGCAGCACATCCTGCAAGACGGAGCCACACGCTGCAAAACCAGGAGAGGAGGAGGCCGTCGACTGGCATGGGACGAGCTTCACAATATATTAGGCAAGAAAAAGTACGCCATAAATGCCAACAACACTGTTCTTGCAAAAACAAAAATTTACAAATGCTTAGAAGAAAGACTGGAAGGGGGGCACAAACTCTTACCCGCACTCCCCTCTCCCAATTTTTATTTAGAAAGAAATAGCAGGGTTTTTGCAAAGCTCCTTAATCGCCAGGAAGGTAGTCGGCCACCCCACCCCACTGGCTGGTGAGACGGGAGCAGACCTGTGGCTAAGCATCGAGGCCTGCAGCAGCAGCAAGGGAAGCCCTTCTGCTGCACGGCCAGCCCCGGGTCCTGCTGTGGCCCTGCCACTGCACAGACAGGGGGGTGTGCAGGGACGCTTACAGCAGATCGCTTGCCCTAGATCCCCTGTTCATCGGGACCACCCTCTCTCGGACACACACAGGGGTGTCCTCCTGCGGGCCTGCACCCCACCTGCCGTGCTAGCCCTGGGGAGGAGTGTGGTGGAAGGGCTCAGGGCCCAGTATGTGACATTAGACCTGGGTGACCTTGGGCCAGTCCCTACCCTCTCTGGGCCACCTACTTTTTGGTAAAGCTGGTGACCCTGCACTGAGTAGCACCATGCCCCCCCCAGGTGGCCCGAATTTAACCCTCTTGGCAACTGTGTGCCCTTGGCTATCTGGAGCTGTAAAACAAGGTCATTGTTTCTGCTTTGCAGGGCGGAGGGGCGACTGAACTGGTGGCTGGCGTGCAGCAGGAGGGGAGCACATGGCAGGTGTTGGTGCTGAAGCAAATGAGCTGTCCTGCCAAGGTGACAAGGACAAGCCAGTGGGAGGCCTGGGATTCTCGCTTCTACCCAGACCGGATTAGCCTCCGTGTGTCTGGTGGAGAGGAAGAGAATGCAGCGGCTGGGAAGCTCTGGCACGAGAATGACGAGCTTGCGTGGGAAAATGCAGCACCTGTGCGCAGGTAGCCACGGGCTCGGCCTCTCACCTGCTTTATCACGTGCTTCGCTTTGGTTTCTGCTTCCTCCACCACCAGGTTCAACCCCAGCGCCCCAGGATTCAGATGGTACAAAATCTACCAGCAAGAAAGAGAGAAGCTTTCAGGAAACACACACAGCTTTTCACTTTCCCAAAGTGCACCCGACTTCCTGCCCCCGCCTCGGCTGGCAGAGCGAGCATCTCCCTCCACTCTGCAGGCGAGGGGATGGCCCGAGGCCGAGAAGCCCCTTAAAGGCAGAACCTGATCCTACCTCTTTGGGGCCCATTCTGGACTTCGTTCTACAACCCCAAACCCCTCCCCTGACCTGCAGTGGGGACCAGCCAGACACCCACCAGCAAGCACCTGCCTGGGCCAGGGCTCATGCCTTCTCTCTAAGGCCCTGTGAGCTCAACTGCCAGCCTCCACCACGCCGGGCTCCAAACAGGAAAGTAACCAGTCCTGTAACTGGTGCAGTCAGTCACAGACATCCGTGTGCCTGGTTCCATGCCAAGCACTTCACAGCCACCCTATGCAGTCAGCACCATTGCGTCTCTGTTTACACTGAAGGAAACTGAGGTAGGCACAAGGAGCTAGGTCCTTGCCTGAGGCTATGGAGCTAAGACGCAGGACCACCTGGACTGGATAACTCTGGGGTATGACTCCAGAGCCTGTGATTTGAGCCGAACCTTCGGAGGGATGGCCACCCTGCCCTGACCCTGTGCAGAGGCCAGGGTGACAGGTGAGGGTGGGCCAGGGACTGCAAGATGCTGACACTCATCAGAGGATGGGGAAGGGGCAGGATGCAGAGGTGGGGTGGTGGGGATGGAACCCTCAGCCTGGGGTCTCTTGGAATCCACAAAGGCCTGAGGATTCTGTAATCAGCACTTCTGGGCAGCCTGAATCCTGCTCATGGAATGATGGGGACAATGTCCAGAGCAGCCCTAGCCATGGGGACCAGAGGGCAGGGCTGGTGGAAAAATGCTCAGGCCGGCAGGCGTGCATGTGCACGGAAGCTCATGCCTATAATCCCAGCACTCTGGGAGGCCCTCGTGGGAGGATCACTTGAGGTCAAGAGTTCGAGACCAGCCTGAGCAAGAGCAAGATCCCATCCATCTCTACAAAAAAACAGAAAAAATAGCTAGGCATTGTGGTGCACCTGTAGTCCCAGCTACTCGGGAGGCTGAGGCAGGAGGATGGCTTGAGCCCAGGAGTTGGAGGTTGCAGTGAGCTAGGCTGACAATACCTCACTCTACAAAGGCAACAGAGACTCTGTCTCTTAAAAAAAGAATGCTCAGGCCTAGGCCCTCTGAGGCAATAAATTAAACAGTAAAGGGCACCTATATCTCAGATCAAGTCTTTTTTTTCCTATAAAAGTAACTTTACTCTAAAAATCCTCTGGCCACGAGGGCCAACTTCCTCCCACACACACGGAATTCTCCCAAAGTGAGGAAAACTAACCTACAAATTGTTTCCAAATTAATGAAATTTTCACAAATACTGAACGTAACATTTACAAAAGTTGACATGTCATGTACAGAAGCATTTAACGAAACATTCATTTCTATCTTGCAGCTTTCCTCGTGTGTTCCGAGAATTTTCCAGGTCTCGCGCGTTTCCAGAGACCCAGGCTGAGGGTGTCTTAGACTGGGGGCGCCGGACGAGCCCTTGGGCGTCCCAGGGTGTCCTGTCCCCAAGAGCACCCGCACTCGGCCGGGCCTGGCGAGTCTTCACTCATTCTAGACAGGGGAAACTGAGGCCCAGGAGGCGAAGGGCACCCGGGTCACCTTTCGAGGCCCAGGGTCAGCCTGCGAGCTGGAGGCAGCCGCTGGCCTGGACCCGCCGCCGCCCCCGGCCGTGGCCGTTGGCCCTCCCCGAGGCGACAACTCGCACCTGGTACTTGTTCATGGTCGCCGGCGCGGACTCCGGACACCTCCGGAGCCTGCGCCGTGGGCCCCGCGCCCGAGCATGCCCAGTGCGGTTCGCGGGTGCGCGCCCACCTCCTCCCCCACCCCCTGCATCCCCTCACCCCGGGAGGGTCCGCCGCCCGCCCTCGGGCCCCGCCCCCTTAAAGGCGCCGCGCGCGCCCGGCGCCGCGGGCGGGCGGAGCGCGGAGGCGGGGCTCGAGCGCTGCTGGCGGCGGCGCGCGCGCCCTTTAAGGCGGCGGCCGGGCGGCGGGCGGCGGCGCGGCGCCTTTAAGGCTTGGCCTACGTGGCAGCCGCGGGAGCCGCCGCCGACGCGGAGCGAGGCCGGCCGCCGGCACTTCCTGTGGAGGCCGCAGCGGCGCGGGCGCCTCCAGGCCGAGCGAGCGAGCGAGCGCGCGCAGCCTCCCGCCGCCGCCATGGGCCAGAACGACCTGATGGGCACGGCCGAGGACTTCGCCGACCAGGTGCGCCCGCCCGCCGGACGCCCGCCTGGGGCTCCGCGGCCTGCGCCGGCGGCCCGCGCCCGGCCCGGCCCGCTCCCCTCCCCGGCGGGCGCGTTCCCGGGCCCCGGCCCGGCTTGGCTGGGGGGGTCCCCGGCAGGCGAGAGCTGCGAGCGGCCTCCTCCCGGCTCCCGGGCCCCGGCTCGAGTCCGGGGGCGTCTGGGGCCCGTCCGCGGCAAGTGGGGGCGTCCTCTGCGTGCGGACTGTTGGGGTCACGTCTTTCCTCCAGCGGGCGGCCTGGGGGGCGGGGAGGGGAGCTCGGATCCCAACCGGGGCTCGGTCGGACTGGCGGCCCGGGGGTCCTCCCGGGGGAAAGGGGGCGCCCTGGATGCACCCCCGGTACGGGAAGCCCCGCGCTGTCTTCCCCTCTTTCCCAGATGTGTGGGGCTCGTGGGGTCCCTTTGACCCTGCCTGCACCTCTCGCTCCCGGCTTGGACTCTGCCCCGGGCCGTATTGAGTGGGGCTCTGTCTGTACACAGCCTGGGAGGAGGGGAGGCCCGTCTGTCGCCTGCTTTTCCCTTCCCGACGTGTACAGGTGGCACCTGAGCAGCCGGGAAGCCCAGGAAACAGGCTGCGAGTGGTTGAAAGCAGTCAGAAACGGGGCGGGCAGGATCAGAGCCTGGGAAAGCGAAGGGACCGAGCTTCCACCCTCGGTTTTGATTAAGCTTGGCAGAAAGAACGCCCTGGCGATGATTTAGATGTGTGACTTATACTGGTAAAAAGCATCCCGTTACGTCTGCAGATGAGCAGCCTTACCCTGCAGGCAGACCCTCATCTGGCCCCCCTGCCATTCTCTCCTTGGTCTACTCCATGCGTCTGTGGCTTTGCCAGAGGTTAAAGTAGTGATGGCTAAATTTTGAATTTTTCTGGGGCTGGTACTGAGTCATCAAAGTCTGAGGCCTAGACTTATTGGAAGGCTTTTGAGTGTGTGTGTGTGTGTGTTTTAAAAAAATGAGTGAGCATCTTCTGATCGGTTATTGGTGAATGAGCTTTTCCCCTCCAGTGGTGATAGCTTTTTAGTGTGTCCTCATCATTGGTTCTTACTGCATCACTTTCCTGTGAGCTGATATTTTAAGCCAGTTTTGGGGTAAAAAGTATATCAAGTTGAAGAAGCAGTTTTTCTAAAGGTCATGATTTTGTGTTTAAAGACACAGTTTAGAAACCGTGTTCCTCACAAACACCGTTCATACCAAACGCTCCCAAGAAGCAAGTAGGATTTTTTTCTTTGTCGGTTTTCATTGACATAATTTTTAATGACCCAATTTTATTTCCCCAAGTAACAACTCCCTGAGAAGATGGCTGGTTTTAGCTGAGGGAAGTGTGAGAGCTTCGTGCACTCACTCTTCAGCCTGCAAAACCCTGGTTTTGCAAGTGAATTTCATAACCAACTCTAGATAAAATGTCTCCAGTCAAGCTGCTGCCAACTCTCAAATGATAGGCTCTCCTACTGAAAAAAAGTTCAGAATCTCCTTATGTAATCCTTTTTTCTTGTTCTCCATGCATTTTTGTTACGTTTGAAACGAAAGAAAGTAGAATCTTGGAACTGCAAAGGCCCTTGAGGGGAACACAGGCTGACCTCGACCAGGTAACCGAGGGAAAGGTGAGGCCGCTCAGGCTCACCTGGACGTGCCAGTGGCCACAGCCCTGAAGAGAACCCAGGTCTCCACCTCTGGTCAAGTCCCCGTACAGCCAGCTTCTCGTGCCTGGTGCTCCTCTCGCAGCACAAATCGAGGAAGACGGTCCGGCAAGGTGGAAGGGCGTGCTGCATGGACAGCAAAAGCGCAGGTGGATAAAGGCCTCGTCTGTCAGTGCGCAGGCTGCGCAGCCGGCAGACCTGCGTTACAGCCCTCTTTGTTCGTGTCTGCCTGGGCAGCGCAGAGTGTGTCAGCAGGAACTTCCGTGCCCGTTTGTGGGCAGCTCGGGAGAGCAGTGACTCTCATGCTGTCACAACCCAAATCAGGACCCTCTTCTGCCATAGGTAGAATAGGGTGTGAAGCCAAAACATGGCTTTCTATGGGCAAAGTGTGACCACACTGTGCCTTTCTTTTTACCATTCAACCACATAGTATTTAAAACAAAGCTTCCAGTAATGAAGTGAGAGTTCAGGCTTTTACATGAAAATGATCTAATTTGAAGACAATGGGAAATTATCATAGAAGTCACTGATCAGATAATGTGACACATCCATTTTTTCTAATCTTCAGAAAACAAAAGCAAAAATGAAGTGACAGGATTTGACCAGAAAGTCTGGGCTGCTGAGAGTGAAACCTCAAAAAAGCTTTGTCTGCCAGGCCCAAGTGTCCTCTGATAATTATGACCGTAATGCTGAACTTTTAACTGGGCCAAGCACTGGGCCAGGTCCTTGATAACGCCAGGTTGTATGCAGGGGTGACTCAGGTGGCCCTTCTGACTGCAGGAGGTCAGCGTAGCATCTGCATCTTCTGATGAGCAGAGTGAGGTTTGCCCTGGGGGGGCTGGTGTCCAGGCTAGAGTTAGTCCTCCTCTGGTCGCCCCAAAGGCTGCGTTCCTCACGGCTTGGTGGACCGCCGCCTTCTGGTGTGCAGAGGCCTGTCCGTGGGAGAGCAGTCGGGTTGGTTTCTGCTGGCAGACTCTCCCGAGCTGTGTCTCTGTCTCTGCCTCTGGCATCAGGCTCCCTGCCCTGGCAGCCAGGGACAGTGTCCTCTTCCGGGAGCCGGGCTGTGGAGAAATTGCTGAGACGTGCTCTATGCAGGAGCTGGGCATTCGGAAGCTGTGGGAAGGGGCCAGAAACTCTAGTGAACTCAGCAATCCAAAATAACGTCCGTGCCCGCAGCTGCTGCTCACCGCCTATTAAACACTCTGCAAAATGTGGCTCCTAAGCATGTTTGCACCTGTAAACAGGAGTATTAGCACTTAATGGGTTCTGCCTGATGGTCGTCACCAAAGTGACAGAAAAGCTGCTTGGGGCCGGACTCTCCAGGGCGGCAGAGCTGGTCCCGGGAGCTAGGAGCTGGCCTCCGCCTCGGCCTTGGGTATTGAGGGTGGCCCTGATGGGGACACTAGAAGCCCGTGTGTGGCGCATGGCCTCAGGAGGCTCGGTGAACGCTTGTGTGTCCCGCCATCTGGCAGGCTCCAGCGTCCCCTCCGAAGGGCTTCCTGCCCGTCCCATGAAGGAGTGGGGACAGAAGACCAGGAGGAGCTGACTCACTTTTCTCTACATGATCTTAACAGGAGGTTAACAAACAACCACCCCCGTCTTGTGGGGCATGGGGTGAAGTCGGGGAGTGTGGTTAGCGAGGCCCCTCCCGGAAGACGGGCACGGCCGCCCTGCGTGGGGCCTCTGCCACGCCGTTCCTCCAGCCGGGCTTCCTGTCTTACATAGGTTTCTTGTCAGGCTGCGCCATCCTCTCCAGCATGGGGCCCATGACACCTCAGGCACCCCAGGGTGCAGCACTTGGAAGGAGACAGGCCGGGCCGTTCTGGAGTCTCGGTGAGTCACCGAGCTCTTGCGCCAGCCCTGACTCAGCCTGGCGCGAGGGAAGTCCCTCGGCACAGGTCTCGTTTCTAGGGTTTGTGGACTTCAGGTGCCCTTGAACAGGGCAGCCCCGGTCCTGGCGAGCAAGGAAACCTGACCTTCCTTTTTCCTCTAAGTTCTCATTTATCACTGACTGCAGGCTGTTCCTCTCGGTTCCTTTGTGTCCCGAATGTGAAGAGAAAGTCGCTTCTCCGTGTGGCGTGGGAGTGGCATGTGGCCGTGCGCTGGTGGTCACCGCAGGCCCAGAGCCATCTCCTGGGCTGGGCATAATTACGCTTCGAACATCCCCTGCAAGGCTCTAAGATAATAACCCTTCTAGAGAAATTTCGGCTTTCAATTCCCAATGCGGACGCTGTCAGCGCTTGCGCGTGTGTCCTGCGCGCCCGTGAGGCTCTTGGAGAGCCCAGTGAGAAGCTTGCCCGCAGAGGGGAGCTGCCTGGGTTCTCCGCTTCTCACAAGCTGTCCAGGTTAGTGTCGTCTTCTGGCGCTCCTGTCACAGATCTCTGACGAGGGGACAAGTCACAGGTTTTACTGCCCCCAGTGTTTACACAGCCAGCGGGCAGCACCTGGCCTGCAGCCCGTGGCCTACATGCCGGCTGCCAGCAGCGGCCGGCGCTGCCTGAGTTGTGGGACTGGCTGCCATGCTGAAGAGATGCCTCTAGAGCCACGAGACGTGGGTCCGGTGGCCAGGGCTGCACCGTTGTGACCAGCATGCTGTAGCAGACGAGGTTAACCCTGGGTCTGGCCTGGTCATTAAATGTGGCTTTTCTTTCATGTCTGTGCCAGACAGATGATCCACAGGCGGTGGCCGGTTTAACGGAGGCTCTGCGTCAGCCTGGCCTACAGAACAGCCGGCCTTCTACCTGGGCCACCTGGCATGCTTGCCTTTGATGGCCAGCATGGCCACGCCGTGGACACGCTGCGTGCAGTGGAAGACCCACATCTGTGCACGTCCGTCCCCCAGAGCAAAGAGCTGCGCCTCTCCTGGTGGTGTGCCGGGGTGGGGCGTGGATTGCCTGTCCCGCCTCGCTTTTGCTCTCTTTTTTGCTCTTTAATCCTTTTGACCCAGACACCCAAATTAAGAGTAGCCAACTCATCAAGGAGGCTTCTAAACACTGCCTTGGTCTCGCGGGTGGTGCGCGGGGCAGACGATGTGTTGGATGAGGATCCTGTGGCTGACGGGGGTAGACCGCAGCCCACGGGCCGGGGCTTGTTGCTTGTCTGGGGGTCAGCAGGCAGCTGGCAGCCTCACTGTGGAGCAAGTCGGAACACCTCGGACGCCTGCCTCTTCCGGGCTGCTTTTCTCCTTCCCCGGGTTTAGAGGAGGTGAAGGCCTGTGTCATCGCCACGGTGCGCAGGTCGCGGCCGTCTCCACGTCTCCCGAGGAGCTGGTGATTGTGCCATTGCTGGGTGTTGCAAAAGCGTTCGGGCCAGGAGCCAGACCCGGGGATGCTGTGTGGCTCGGCTGTCCCCGTACCCTGGCGCAGTGCGGGTGTGTTTACACTGCGTGTACACACATCTTACGTGTTCTCTGTATGGGCTCTCAAGTTCACATGAAGTATTTGGACCTCTTTTTTACAACAAGAAAAAAAGTTTTTCTCGTTTGTCCTTCTCTGCTGATTTTAGACTTAAAGTTGGGGCGAATGTTAGCAAGCACTAACCCCACTATCCTCACTTTGTAGGGAGAGTAGAGGCCCAGGACAGGAAGTCGGCCTGTCTGTGGCCATGCGGTGCACTGGCCAGTCAGTGTCAGGTGGGATGGGGACAGGGGACTTGGGGTACAGCCTCTGCTTCCTCCCCCAGACCTGCCGGGTTGATTCTCCGGGTGTTTGTCTGTCACTGCCATTCCTGCGTGGATGGGAAAATCCAAATCACCAGGGCCCCTTAGAAAAGAATTTTTTAGGCAAAGAAAAGACCAGAGTTGAGTCCTCACCTGCCATCATGATGGTCAGGGGGGTCAGGGACTGAGGGTGCGCTGGGAGGGGAGTGGCCACCTGCTTTGTGATCTCCGCTCCCTGCCCCATCGGGGCCGTGATGCTGACCAGGCCAGGGTCCCTGAGAGCGGAGGGATCCGCACCCCAGCCCCGGTGTGCGCTGGCTGAGTCGGGAGCTTGGCAGGGTCCAGGACTCTGGCCGATGTGTAAAGTGCTGACAGTAAGAAGCATTCTGCGTGCGTCCTCGCTTGTTCCAACAGCAGGGTCTGCCGGCCCGTGCTGCCAACGCTGGCTCACCTGTCCCTTGCCGGGGTCAGACTCGAGAGTGCCCTTTAGACCTGGCTTCTTGACACGTTGCTTCTCTGGGTGGGTCCCTGATCTTTCTCCTGAGGGCTTGCCGTGTTATCTTAGGATTTTTTTTCCACTTTGTATCAGTTTTGGATGGGTGATAAAAGTGCATGGGGTATACCTGCGTGACATTTGTACCTGGCATTCGACAGTGCCTGCTGGCCTCCTAATCTAGCCATCATAAATGACGTGAGTTGCAAGGGACGGAAGGAAGTCATAAAGGTATTTATCCTTTTGACCTTTGAGAGTGATCTTTATACACTATTTTGCTATTGAAACAGTTGTCCATTCTATTTGTTAGTGTGCTTTTTATTTTTAGTTTTTGTGGGGTTTTGTGAGACAGGGTCTTGCTCTGTTGTTGGGCTGGAGTGCAGTGGCATCATTGTAGCTCACTGGAGCCTCCAACTCCTGGGTTCAAGTGATCCTCCTGCCTCAGCCTCCTGAGTAGCTAGGACTCCAGGCGCCAAACACCCAGTTAATTTTTGTATTTTTTTTAGTGGGGGGCGTCTCGCTATGTTGTGCAGGCAACATAGTGTATTTTTAATTTGCTTTGGGTTACACAGGCTTTAAAAATAATCCCAGTGCTTTCTAGCCATTAGTCATACCAACTTCATATTTTTTTTTAGAGATGGGGTCTCACCCTGTTGCTCAGGCTGGGCTCAAACGATCCTCCCGCTTCAGCCTCCCAAATGGCTGGGATCACAGGCAGGCGCCACCACGCCCAGCTCCAGCTCCATGTCTTACTGAGAATTCTCGCACACCCCGTTGCGAGAGTCAGATCCTGAGCTGTCCGGGGGGAGCTAGGACATGTCGGGCTGGGGCATGCCAGTTTTTGTTGTGACTGTGCTGGATGCTCTTCAGAGCCTGGGGTTTCCTGCTGCTCTGGAGACTGGGTAACTGTAACGCGCGAGTAACTGTGAGGCCCTCCAGGCCTGGTTCTGGTTCTGAACCAGAGTGGCGCTGGGAAGGTTGGGAGTTCAAGGCCTTAGCCCTTCCCTGTGTGTGGCCAGCAGGCTGGCGTCGAGTCACAGGATTGTGCCATCAGCCCAGCCCAGGGGCCCCGGCCTCCCAGGCTTGGTTTGCCCGTTATAGTACGAAGGGCTGGACTAGAGCGGTGGGGACGTATGGCAATGGCGGCTGCCACTGCATCCCGTGGGCAGAAGCCATGCGCAGCTCCATTCTGCAGGGCCCAGGACAGCCCCACCAAAGAACGGCAGCTCAGAGCTACTCGTGCTGAGGCCGAGAAACCCCAGACCAGATGACCTTTGGGGACTTCTCAGATGTCATTCTGTGATCCTACCTGTTCACGCCTTTCACTGAAAAGAGCACTGTGTGTCTTGGCGGCAGTGCCACCTCTGATGACTGTAGGTAGCTGTGGTTGCCACCTAGGTGAGCTGCCGCAGGGGTGGAAGAAGTCTCAGCGGAGGGAGCTGGGGCTGTGCCCTGTGGCGTCTGTGCCGGCTGGGCCTGCTGCTGGGCTGTCCATCTCTGGGACTGACACTTGGGCCGTCCCGTGCGTCCAGGCTTGCAGGGTGGTGCTCACGAGCAGGTGTGGAGGGCCCTGGGGCTGCCGTGTCCGCGTGAGCTTACTGCCCTGTCCCCTCGCGTGCCCTGCCCCGTGCGGCGCTTGGCTGGGTCTGTGTGCCCGCCACAGCCGCCTCACACCCAGGTTTCTGCGGCCCTGCAGTTCCTGCGAGTCACAAAGCAGTACCTGCCCCACGTGGCTCGGCTCTGCCTGATCAGCACCTTCCTGGAGGACGGCATCCGCATGTGGTTCCAGTGGAGCGAGCAGCGCGACTACATCGACAGCACCTGGAGCTGCGGCTACCTGCTGGCCTCCACCTTCGTGTTCCTCAACCTGCTCGGGCAGCTGAGTGAGTGGCTCTGGGGCCGTCGGGACTCCCTGGCTTCTTGCCCCGATCGTTAGTATGCGCTGCGCGTGAATGGCAGGGTCTCAGGAGACCGCACCACTTCCCCCACTCAGTGTGCCGGGCCAGGGGCTCGGTTCCGAGACATTGTCGTGGACTCATGGCTTTGGAGCTCACTCTAGCAGCAAGACGTAGTCCTGCCCTGTGCCCAGAGCAGGAGGCAGAGCTGCTGGGAGGCCTGGGCAGAGCTGAGGCTGGCAGAGACAGCGGCTGGAGAGGCCAGTGGGACCCTGTGAACGGCAGAGGGAGGGCACCGGACTGGGCGGAGGCTCCTGCCAGCTTCCGGTCTTCCTCCTGCTCCCGACGGCCTCTCCTGGCCGTTACAGGGTGACGAAGGGACTTAGCGTTTCACCCTCCTGTGCCCCACAGTAGGGCAGTGGAGCGTGCCCCAGGGGACAGCTGGCTGGAAGGCAGCCGACCTCCTCACAGCAGGGGAACCACTTTCCAGAGAGTAAAGTTAGCCCGTCACATGTGGCCCTGGCCTGTCATTATTTCTCCCAGAAGTTGCTTTTTGCTTGGGTAGGTGGTTTGGCTGCAGCCGGACCAGAAGGCCAGGTGAGGTGGCAGTGTGCTGTGACAGCGTCTCCTTGCCCGGGCCCACACACAGTACCCCGACCCTGCTGTTGTGATGTTCATGACGTTCTTCTCGTCCCCAGCTGGCTGCGTCCTGGTGCTGAGCAGGAACTTTGTGCAGTACGCCTGCTTCGGGCTCTTTGGGATCATAGCACTGCAGGTACGTGGGGGGCACTGGGGCTCTCTTGTTGGAATCTCCGCACTGCCGGGACACTGTGCAGTGGGGTCTCAGGTTGGAATGTCAGCACTGCAGGGACATGGGGTGCACAGTGGGGTCTCAGGTTGGAATCTGAGCACTGCAGGGACACGAGCACACAGTGGGGTCTCAGGTTGGAATCCCAGCACTGCCGGGACACGTGCGCACAGTGGGGTCTCAGGTTGGAATGTCAGCACTGCAGGGACATGGGGTGCACAGTGGGGTCTCAGGTTGGAATCTGAGCACTGCAGGGACACGAGCGCACAGTGGGGTCTCAGGTTGGAATCCCAGCACTGCCGGGACACGGGCGCACAGTGGGGTCTCAGGTTGGAATCCCAGCACTGCCGGGACACGTGGTGCGCAGTGGGGTCTAAGGTTGGAATCTGAGCACTGCAGGGACACAGGCGCACAGTGGGGTCTCAGGTTGGATTCCCAGCACCGCAGAGACATGTGGTGTGCAGTGGGGTCTCAGGTTGGAATCCCAGCACTGCAGGGACGTGGGGTGCGCAGTGGGGTCTCAGGTTGGATTCCCAGCACTGCAGAGACATGTGGTGTGCAGTGGGGTCTCAGGTTGGAATCCCAGCACTGCAGAGACATGTGGTGTGCAGTGGGGTCTCAGGTTGGAATCCCAGCACTGCAGGGACGTGGGGTGCGCAGTGGGGTCTCAGGTTGGAATCCCAGCACTGCAGGGACACAGGGCGCACTGTGGGGTCTCAGGTTGGAATCTGAGCACTGCAGGGATACAGGGCGCACTGTGGGGTCTCAGGTTGGAATGTCAGCACTGCAGGGACCCGGGGCGCACTGTGGGGTCTCAGGTTGGAATCCCAGCACTGCAGGGACGTGGGGTGCGCAGTGGGGTCTCAGGTTGGAATTTCAGCACTGCAGGGACACGGGGCACACAGTGGGGTCTCAGGTTGGAATCTGAGCACTGCAGGGACACAGGGGGCACTGTGGGGTCTCAGGTTGGAATCCCAGCACTGCAGGGACGCGGGGTGCACTGTGGGGTCTCAGGTTGGAATCCCAGCACTGCCGGGACACTGCGCACAGTGGGGTCTCAGGTTGGAATGTCAGCTGCAGGGACACGGGCGCACAGTGGGGTCTCAGGTTGGAATCTGAGCACTGCAGGGACACGGGGCGCACAGTGGGTTCTCAGGTTGGAATTTCAGCACTGCAGGGACGCGGGGTGCGCAGTGGGGTCTCAGGTTGGAATCTGAGCACTGCAGGGACACAGGCGCACAGTGGGGTCTCAGGTTGGATTCCCAACACTGCAGGGACACGTGGTGCGCCGTGGGGTCTCAGGTTGGAATCCTAGCACTGCAGGGACGTGGGGTGCGCAGTGGGGTCTCAGGTTGGAATCTGAGCACTGCAGGGACACAGGGCGCACTGTGGGGTCTCAGGTTGGAATCCCAGCACTGCAGGGACGTGGGGTGCGCAGTGGGGTCTCAGGTTGGAATCCAAGCACTGCAGGGACACAGGGCACACAGTGGGGTCTCAGGTTGGAATTTCAGCACTGCAGGGACGTGGGGTGCGCAGTGGGGTCTCAGGTTGGAATCCCAGCACTGCAGGGACACCGGGCGCGCAGTGGGGTCTCAGGTTGGAATCCCAGCACTGCAGGGACGCGGGGCGCGCAGTGGGGTCTCAGGTTGGAATCCCAGCACTACAGGGACACAGGGCGCACAGTGGGGTCTCAGGTTGGAATTTCAGCACTGCAGGGACGTAGGGTGCGCAGTGGGGTCTCAGGTTGGATTCCCAGCACTGCAGGGACACGGGCGCACAGTGGGGTCTCAGGTTGGATTCCCAGCACTGCAGGGACATGGGGCACACAGTGGGGTCTCAGGTTGGAATCTCAGCACTGCAGGGACATGGGGCACACAGTGGGGTCTCAGGTTGGAATCTCAGCACTGCAGGGACATGGAGCACACAGTGGGGTCTCAGGTTGGAATTTCAGCACTGCAGGGACGCGGGGTGCGCAGTGGGGTCTCAGGTTGGATTCCCAGCACTGCAGGGACACGAGGCGCGCAGTGGGGTCTCACTTTTGTTTGCTTCGGTGGAGCAGAGCTCCTGAAAAGGCATCTTCGAGGGGTCAGCAATCACTTCTCCTGAGCCCTCTGGCATCTCTGACTGCCTGGAACCCCTTGTTTTCTTCCGGGAACATCGCTGGGTTTTGATCATAGCAAGCTCAGGTGAACCAGACAGTCACGCTGTGCCGCAGAGACTGGACTGACCCCTTAGTAGGTGCCGGCGCTGGGTACTGGGCCATCTTTGCCATGTTCCTCAGATTCTTGTGATGAGGGGAAGTGACGAGCATGGTTACGGCCAGAGCAGTGTCTTTTTATCCCTTCACTTCATACGGTGCAAGCTGGTTACTCGTGCCGCAGTCGGCGTCTCGGTTACCTTCTCTGCAACATCATGGCCCGACTCTGGTTAAACAGACAGGTCTGAGGGCCAGTCCCACTCTGAGAATCACTCAACCAAATTCATGAACTTGGATCTGTCCTCAGTGTCCTCAAATGGTTTTTGTGTTTTATATTCCCACTGTATTGGAAAAAGTGCCTAATGCTCTTGTTAATCTTGGAGACGTTCGTTTGAAAATGCTAAGACTCAAGCCTCTGTCTTCCTCCCCACAGACGATCGCCTACAGCATTCTATGGGACCTGAAGTTTTTGATGAGGTACGTGCGTTCTGGCTGGTGAGTTTTAGTGCACTCTTCTCACTCGAGTTCTGTGTCCTAATCTGACAATTCTTGAGTGCTGACATGTCCCTCAAAGGAAATGCTCACTGGAGCATTTCAGAGTTTGGATTTTTGGATTTGGGATGATCAGCCGGTAAGTATGTAATACAAATATGCCAAAATCCAAAAAATTCTGAAATGCGTCTGTTCCCAAGCACTTCAGTTAAGGGTTACTCATTGTGTATCTCTAAACTCAGTAACTGCGGTTGGAATAAACTCCTTTGCGTCTAAACTGAGCTTTCTCTGAGCTTTCTCTCAGATTCTGTAGTGGATGTCGCAGAGCCCCTGGGTGGTAGTGGGAGTGCAGCCATCTCTTCTGACCCCTTATTTCATGGGTTCGGGGACAGAGGTCTGAGTGACCTCACAGGGAGTCAGCTGGCGCAACAGTGAAGCCACACCTAGGACAGGGTGCTGTGTGTAGCCCGCTGCTGTTTATCTGGAGAGACGGCTCTGTGTCTTGAGCTGGGTAAGGTTTCATGTCGGTTTAAGTTGAGTCAGGGCCTGTGCTCGGAGCCCGCCCGCCTGCCCGGCAGCCGGCTGGGTTTGGAGAGAGGGAAGCGGGGCCCTCCCCGCGCACGCCTCGCTCTCCCTGGATCTGGGCTGATGACAGACCGGACGCCTGCTGAGCTTCTGGCTGGCCCTTCTGGTCCTCAGGAACCTGGCCCTGGGAGGAGGCTTGCTGCTGCTCCTGGCAGAGTCCCGTTCTGAAGGGAAGAGCATGTTCGCGGGCGTCCCCACCATGCGCGAGAGCTCCCCGAAACAGTACATGCAGCTCGGAGGCAGGGTCCTGCTGGTTCTGATGTTCATGACGCTCCTTCACTTTGACGCCAGCTTCTTCTCCGTAAGTATTCCTGCTGGCGTGGCTGGGCCTCCTCTCCTGTGCCTCCCATCCGCGCCCCCACTCCCTGGTGCCCGCCAGCCACTCCCAGGGAAGCAGCCCGAGGGAGCAAACCTCCTGATCCCTTCAAACAGCCAGAAGCCATCAGTCTGTTGTGTGCCAGGAAGCCGCCTGGCCAGCAGACTGAGCCCGGACCCTCCCTGACCCCTGGGGTCCTGGTGCCCATGGGTCCTCCTCCCACTGCCGCCAGCGCCCTCTGCACAGCCCCCTTCTTCCGTTTCCCTCCTCGCCATACACACCTTCGTCCAGGACTCCCCGTGTGCCACTGTCGGGGTGCAGAGTCCTCCAGGAACTGCCCAAGAGCCCTGGCTGGCTGAGGTGCCTGGGCCGGCTCCTGGCGCCATGGGGAGAAGAGGGTGTTTCTAGAGCAGATGGCCGGGCGGGCGGGCCAGGAGGCGCTCAGGAATCCAGCTGTCGGAGCTCGCCGTGGGCAAGCGCAGCCTGTGCTAGCCGGAGACTTCCTCTATGCTCCTCCAAACGCTCCACGCTCTGAGGCCTTGCTGCACGCGCTGCCCCCCCCACTGGCTCGTCCCCCGCCCGCCGCCCTCAGCTCGGCAAGGGGCAGGTGGAACTTTTCTGTTTATAAAATATCTTTTTTCCTCACATTTAAGTCTCTTAACCTTTCGACCCACGCAGATCGTGCAGAACATCGTGGGCACGGCGCTGATGATTTTGGTGGCCGTCGGCTTTAAAACCAAGCTGGCAGCGTTGACGCTCGTGGTCTGGCTGTTCGCCATCAACGTGTACTTCAACGCCTTCTGGACCATTCCCGTCTACAAGCCCATGCACGACTTCCTCAAGTACGACTTCTTCCAGACCATGTCGGTCATCGGGGGCTTGCTGCTGGTGGTGGCTCTCGGCCCCGGGGGCGTCTCCATGGATGAGAAGAAGAAGGAGTGGTAACAGCCACAGGTCCCCACCCTGCCTGGCCAGCGCCCCTGGCCACCAAGGACTGGTGTTTGTGCGGGCGGATGCAACCAAACTGCCAGCATTTAGGTATCCTCCTCCCTCCCTCCCCGGCAAGGGCACAGATGTTCTGAGAACTTTATTTGCAGAGACACCTGGAAATTGATGGCCGAATCTGCTCGGGAGCCCCATGCTGGTGTCTGTTTCATGCTGGCCGGCTGGACGGTCGGTCCCCCCGACGGCACAGCTTTGGCAGTGAGCAGCTGGGCTGGTTGTGGCCTCAGTCCCATTTTTTTTTCCTGGGGGAGGGGCCTTCGAGCTGTACTGTGAGCAGACACATTTGTACATCATTCAAATCAGTCTCCCTCTTCTTTTTTAAGTTTACATTTTTAGTTCAAACTACTAAACGATTTTGGATGGTTCAACCAAATACCAAACAGTTAAACTCCTTGGTTTAAAATCATAGCAGTGGCTTCCACGTCGTTTCTGCCCCTGCGCTGTAATACTTCCTAGGAACAGCAAAGACAGCAGAGGTGCATCGTCGGGGGTGGGGGGCTGCCGTTTGTGGTAGCAGACGCCTCCCCCTCCTGGAAAATCGGCTCGATCGGATCAATCACTGAGTGTTCTGTTGGCAACACCCTGGGAGCTTTAGTGGCTTGAGGCAGGGATGAGGGGTGGCAAGTCCTTGGGAGGCTACGGCTCTGGGTGCTGCTGGCCACCCGGAGCCTGGCAGTGAGGGGGTTCCACCACGGCTCCTGTGAGCAGCACCGCAGCCCGCTGGCGCCCTCGGCTTGGCCGGTTACCTCACACAGACCTCAGCCAGAGGTCTGGGGCCCATCCCCAGCCCCCATACCACTTTCCCTGAGGTTGTCACTTGCTCCAACCTTGTCCACTTGCTACACTGAATGCAGCCAAAATTACTTTTTACAATTTGTGATGCCTTACTGATTTGATCTTGATCCTGTATTTAAAGTTTTCTAACATTGCCTTATACTGTGTTCCTCTTTTTGGGGGGGGGGGTGGATAATTTGCTTGATCCCTGCTCATCTGCACTGCAGTGAACGCTTCACGGCAGTCAGGACGTCTCTCTGGCCCCACATCCATCTGGGGACAGCCTGGCTGGGGCTGTCCTACGGCTACCAGGGGCCAGCCCTGACTAGTCTCTGGGTTCGCCTTTCTCTCACCCCTTGGCTTGTAGGGCAGAGGTGAGGTCGCTTCTGCCCGCCATCGCCGGTGGGCACCCACCGGCCCTGCACCTGGACCCATCACCTCCTCAACCCACCTCGGGGCCCGCCCCTCAGTCTCCTAATATTTATAAAATCAAGCAGTGGCTTCAGGACACTGGGGTTCTCTCTTCCTTGTCACTCAGATGTTCACTGCACAGAGTGGCTTCTAATGCAGTATTTCAAACTCGGCAGGGCCATCTCCTGGCCCACACCCACCCCCAAGACCGTGGCGTGGTGGCCCGGTGCATCCCTGGGGCCACTGTTTGGGGAGGGGTGCACAGTGGACACCTGCTCGTCAGCAGCATCGCCTCGGTCCTAGCGGTGGCTCCTGGTTCCCTGGCCCTGAATGGGCACGTGCCCAAGAACTGGGGGCGATGCCTTTGCTGGGAGGAGGGAAAGTGTGACCTACCAATTGGTTCTGGCAAAATGACTTCTGAAAATTTTTTTGCTTTATGTGGGAAATAGATCTAAATCTCATTTTATGCTGTATTTTATAACTTAGTTGTGTTTGAAAACATTCTGATTTTTGGAAACACATCAAAATAAATAATGGCATTTGTTGTATGCAGTGTGCTCCTACAGTGTCGGCCAGCCTGGGCTGGGGTCTGGCCAGGGTTCTCCATGGGACACTGCAGTGAGCTAGGTCACAAAGCTTCAGAGAAGCTGGCTTCTCTGAAGCTGTGTCCAAAGAAAACTCGTCCCCCAGAGCCCCAAGTTGCTTCCTGGGTGTGGGTGACAGGACCCCACCACCTGCTGAGCAGCCTTGCCTCAGGGGCAGCTAACATCATGAGACAAAGACTCATGACAAAGATGGGTGGGTGGAAGACACTGGGAACGCCTGGGGAGTCAGAGGACGCATGCGGCTTGCAGGCTTGGTTAGCACTTTATTAACCCAATTGTTTAAAGCAGCCGAAGCTCCTAGGTTTTCGGTGATGACTCTTGAACTTCTTTTTCTGGGTGCCCAGCTGCTTCTGTGAACAGAGAGTTCCAATTACAGGAGCCTGTCTAATCCCACGAGGGGGCGGGGGAGGGCTCTTCCAGGCCAAGGCGCCCCCAGCGAGAGAGGTGTTGGTTAGTTTGAAAAGCCCCTGGCTCCCTCCCGTACAGCTGCGGGATGAGACCACTCGGCGGCTGGTCAGGAGCTGGGTGCCTCGCCACCCGCAGCACCAGCCCCGTCCTGCTCCTCCTGAAGCCCCGCTAGCAAAGGCCAAGGCGACATCTAGTAAGTCAAGTCCCTTCCTCTAGGTTCCTGTGCCACCGGGGCAAGGACTAACCAACCCCAGCTTGAGGTGGGTGCCGGGGTCGTCTGCTAAGCAGCGGTCTTAAACCCAGCCGGAGGAGCCCAGCTTCCACGGAAGCGACGGGCCGCCCCACCTGAGCAGCTGTTAGCTGGGGACTTCATATGCGAAACGGGTACAATTTTTTTGTTTTTAAGAAACTGAAAACCGTCCCTGCTGCCAGGCTAGCAGTCGAGGGGGAACGGCTCACCTTCCCACGCTTCACCTTCCCACACTTGGCGGCCAGCTCCCCGGCCTCTCCCATCTCCTTCCTCACACCAGCACCCTTGTCTCTTGGGGGCCTTGGCTTCTCGTCCTCTTCGTCTGTCACAATGTCATTGGTGCTATCCCTGTTCTCAGTCCCTCCCAGGTCCTTTCTGGTGAACAGCTCAGCTGGAAGGGACAGAGGACCTGGCTAAAGGCGGTTCAGGTCCAAGTCACTCCCTTCTGTGCAGGGACACTGAGAACACCTGGCAGGAGGCAACTACCCAGACCAGAGCCAGAGGGAGTCAGGGGAGACGGGGCCATTCCCGCTTACGTGGGTACAGGTCTGTCATGCTGTCGTCACTCAGGGCTCCCCCCTCATCACTGGACACCGGCTTCCAAAAGGCTTCTTTTGGCTGTGGCGGCCCGCTGCTGTCCTTCTGGTTTTCCTTCCTCCTCCTCTCATACAGCAAACAGGCAGGGACGAACTCCAGCCCTTGCTGCTCACAGTCTTTATCTGGGAGAGAAGCCAGCACATGCCCAGTCCCCCCACGCACCTGGTCCCCGGCTAACCTGGGGGGCTGCGTTCTATCCAGGCCCCACAGCTGTGGGGGTGGGCAAGATGGTGTGGCCTTGGCACCCAGCCAGGCTACAGGAAGTAGTGGCTGGGAGGGCAGAGCCAGCCCCAGGCAAGCTGTGCCCCGGTGAGAGGCAGCCTGGCCTGTCTCCAGCTGACTGAAGTACTCTTAGCACAGCTGGGCACCTGTCCTGGACGGTAGGGCTCAGTGGAAGTGGCTGCCTAGCCCTTTGCTGTCCTTTGGCTTGTAGCAGTGTCTCACTGGAGTCACCACCGCTGTCCCCTCGTGGCTTAAGAGGGTCCTGGAGCTTGCCCTCCAGACCAGCGTGGCTCCCTGGCGGGGAAGTGGTGTCACGCCATCACCCCTCATGGGCAAGACAAGCCCTACTGGACCCCGGCCTCGGATGTTGCTGTCATCTCTGCCACCCACTCCCACGGCCACATGGCAGCCTCACCAGCACCGAGCTTGCAGGCCTAGTCTCCTTACGGTGCCCTGGGCTGGGTCCCCCAATGCCACACTCTGACTCCTCCAGACCACTGCCCTGAAGTGACCTCACCATCCCCAGTCCCCTCTGGGCTCCATGTCCATCATCAAATCCACTCTCATTTGTGAAACCCCTGCCCCTGCAATCTAGCACCTTCCTGCCCACCCCCAAGCAGCTGACACACTGACTGGAAAAAGGCCAAGACCAGGTGGTGGCCCTCGTACCTGGAGGCCTCTTTGAGGTGCTGGCCTTCCCACTGGAGACCCCTCCTCAAAGGAACTCACAATTCCCCTGCAAAGCCTGCCACTTGGACCCCCTCTCCTGTCTTAACCAGGCCACCCTCTACTAACCAGTTCTCAGCCACAAACATGGGGTGCCTGGGGGACTTCTTTTGTCCCTCATTCCCGATCTGGTTCTGTTCCCAAAGCATATGGAGCCTCTACATCTGCTCCTCTCCCCAAGTCACCACCTCCTGGGTGACTCTTCAGCCGGTCCCTGCCACCACCCTCAGTGCACCCACTGCACATGCTCCCAGCCAGGGCCTGCGAGGCCCGTGTGGTCTGGTCCACCTTGCGCGCTGGCCCGAGGCCATCCTTTGGACCCTCCCACAGCCAAGCGCCTTTCTGCCTGAGACTCAGCAGACCCTGGCCTCTACCTGGAGCGCCACCCCTCACATCCCTCCAGTCCACAGCAGGCCCTCCCTGCGACCCTGGCACTTTCTTCCACACCGTTTGTCAACACTGCAATCCTCTGTGCCTGCTTCTGGCTCTCCGACAGGCAGGGGCCATGGTCCCTCTCTTCACTGTGCCAGGAACTAAGCGGCCTTAAAGGATGACTCGAGGCACCGCTTCTGCGGTCAAGGGGTGCTCCCATCTGGGTAGGGTGCACGCATGCTCTGATGCGGGGACTTACACTTGCGCAGCGCTCTCTGGTACCGCTGGCCCTGGGTGTGCCTCAGCACGTCCTCTGGGGACTTATTGATGTGCCGCAGGGTGAGTTTGCAGAACAACTGGTGCCTACAGAGCAGGGAGACCTTGGTTTGCAGGGACCGTCCACAGCAAGGACCCAAACCAGCGCTGCATCCTGGAAACCCCATCCCCGGGACATGGAGGCACCTCTGGGAGAGCAGGGGACGCTCAATGATGTGGCCTGAGCACCAGGACTTCCTCCCCTGCAGGACTTACCACCCCACTGTCAGCTAAAGAAATGGTTCCTACTCAGGCAAAGACGTGACCCTGACCCCCACCCCTCCCTCAGGTACCCCGACTACACCAGGACCCGGGTGTCCCCCCCCCCCGCCCGCGTCACCCTGAGGGGCTCGGGCACCAGGGCAGAGGAGGAGCCCTCCTGAGTCCTCCGGCCCCGCCGCGGGCCACCTACGGGTTCTTGGTGCTGGGCACGATGTGCGGCTCGAACTCGGTGTAGTCGAAGGTCACGGTGGCGCGGACTAGCCGCTGGTACTTCTTGCCGCGCGTGTAGACCTGGAGCTCAGGCAGGCGACAGGGCAGCTCGTGGCCCGTCAGGGCGCACTTCACCTGCGGGCGGGCCGGCGGTAAGGGGGCCGGCCCTTCCCCCGCCCGCTCCCCTCCTCTCCCTCCCCTCCGCGGCCCGCCGCATCCTCCCCTCCGCGGCCGCCGCACCCTCTCCTCTCCCCTCCCCTGCCCTCCCCCGCCCGCTCCCCTCCCCTTCCCCGCCCGCTCCCCTCCCCTCCCCGCCCGCTCCCCTCTCCTCCTCCGCCCGCCGCATCCTCTCCACTCCCCTCCCCCCATCCCCGGCCCACCGCACCCCATCCTCTCCTCTCCTCTCCCCTCCCCCGCCCGCTCCCCTCCCCTCCCCTCCCCGGCCCGCCGCGGACCTTGCGGGCGCCCGGCTGCAGCCGCAGGCTCGGGTGCTGGCGCAGGAAGGCCTGGACGTCAGCCTCGGGCTCGCTCATGGCCCCACAGCACACCAGACGCCGCTCGCACCTCGTGGAGCCTGGGCGGGGCTGGGCGGCGCCCCGGAAGCAGACGCCTCCCGCGACCCGGAAGTGCCCGCGGGGCCGAATGCGATGGCGGCGTCGGCGGCGCTGCGGCTGGGGCTGCGGGCGGCGTGCGCGGGCCTGGTGAGCGCGGGGGCGCGGGGCGGCGGGGGGGGCGCGGCGTCCCGGGGCGGCGGGGCCGGGCGCTCAGCCTGCCTGTCCCTTCCGCAGGCCCCGGCCCGCGCTGCCCGGAGGAGTGTCCTTGGGGTCCGCCCGCGCCCAGGTGAGGAGACTCGGGCCGGGCGTGGTCGGGGCGCCGGGAAGCGCACCTGCCTTCCGCCCCGCGGCGAACGGGTGTCGTGGGGTTGAAATGGAGCTGTAGCTGCCGGCGGGGCATAGGTTCCCCGAGAGCCGTGGAGTAAAGTTCCGCTTTAGACGCCTTTGAGGCAGCGGCGGCCGTGTGCGGCGGCGCGAAGGGCGGCTCCTTCTGTGGTTCCCGCCCTGGGGAGGGTCCAAGACTCACTTGCCGGCTCTCGCCCGGCTAATGAGCGCCCAGGCCTTGATGGGAGCGCAGGCTCTGGGAGTCCAAAAAAGTAAAGTGCATCTGACCACCGCAGTCTCGTTTCCTTTCAGTGCGCAGCAAAAGGTATTTTGCAGTGAGTAGGTGCCGTGCACAGATAAAGGGTGTTTTGTAAGCCTGCTCCAACCACAGTGCCCGTGTCGCTTTCAGCCGGTGGGACTCACCCTCTGAGAGCTCAGTACATTGCTTCATCTTCAGTTTATGACGAGCAGCGAAGAAGGAAAGCTGTTAGGGGCTCAGTGAGCCAGTATCCTGAGCTGTAGTATCTTGCTTTCTCTGCACAGCACAAAGCCAGCAATGCCTGGTAAGCTGCTTACAGCTGTAGCTGTTTATTAAATGCTCTTTGAAGGAGTGACCCAATACTGTGCATCTTAGTGCAGTAGAATGCATCTTAGCATATTGTTGAGTAAAGAGGCATGAGTTGGTTACCTGAGTTACCCAGGGTCATGGTTGGTGGTCGAGCCAGCACAAAGCCCTAGATCTCATTTATTCAGTCATCAAACATCTACTGAGTGTATGACATGTGTCCTTGTGCTGGGCAGTGTTAGGAACTGGGCTGGACACAGGTGCTTCTAGTGGGCTCCAGGCAGCAGGTTTTGATCTGTTCACTCCTATATCACATTCTCAGGCAATATTGGTGGAGTCTTTCAAAATTGGCTACTTCAGTTCTGTTTGGTCTAGGGCTTCTGACTCCATGCCAGTGTTGTGACCCTTTCTCCAGGAGTGGCCTGGAGGCCAAGCAGATGTGGCAGTTCTGCAGCAGAAGCACCTGCCACAAAAGCAGAAGAGGATTCCTTTCTCCAGTGGTTTCTGCTTCTCATCCCCGTGACTGCCTTTGGCTTGGGGACATGGCAGGTAGAGACTGGCATGTGGTTTGGGGGGTTCTGAGCCCTGGCCCCTGCCACCACGTGCTTCGGTTTACACTCGATTTCTGTAGGTCCAGCGTCGGAAGTGGAAGCTGAACCTGATTGCAGAGTTAGAGTCTCGAGTTCTGGCTGAGCCCATCCCTCTGCCAGCAGAGTGAGTGGCTGCCCACCTGGGGACCATCTTCTTGGAAGTCAGCAGTGGGGTCTTGGCTTCTGCTGGCCCCTCCTGTCAGGGCCTTTTGTTGGGTACTTCTTAAGCTTGCCATTGACACCTGTGAAGCTACACGAGGCCTGCTGACATTAGTAGAAAAGTCTTATTTTTGTTCCCGGGTGTCACCCTTTTTTCAGGTCCAGTATATTTGAGGGATCCCCTTCAGAGGGCATGCTCTGCGATCCCACAGACCCCTGTGCCTGCCCTTTACTGTCCTACATTACCTCCTGGCCCTGGTGGGATTTGTAGTATGTGGCCCCCATCAAGGCATTTGTTTTCCGGCCAAACCTTGCCCACTGCTATTTTCTCTCCATGCAGCCCGGTGGAACTGAAGGCGCTGGAGTACAGGCCAGTGAAGGTGAGAGGACATTTTGACCACTCCAAGGAGCTGTACATGATGCCCCGGACCATGGTGGACCCTGCCCGGGAGGCCCAGGAGGCTGGCCGGATCTCCTCCTCAGCTGAGAGCGGGGCCTATGTCATCACTCCTTTCCACTGCCCTGACCTGGGGTGAGTGGGCCACGTGGGGAGCCAGCTGCCCAGGCAGGTGCCATTGGGTGTACCAGTTCCCTGCCCTAGGAGTAAACCTTGGGACTCCAAGATACCCAGAAAGGGTCAATCCTTTGAAGAGTGTGGAATCCCTAATTGTGACGCTGAATAAGCAACGTTAGCCAGCTCACCGATGACCAAGGGACTTGTGCATGTTCAGCTCTGAAGGGGAAGGCAGATGAGTGAGGCAGGGCGCTCTGGAGCAACTGTCCACTGGCCCACACATTAACGATCATGGTGCACCACGAGCGGCAGTGAGAGACTCAAGAGAAAACCCCAGCCCTTCTCCAGGGGAGTTGAATTGGAGGTTCCCCCCAGGGGTTGTTTGGCCCAAATAGAATTAGCAGATAGGAAAGACTTACAGGCAAAGGAAATGACGGGTACAAGAGGACCCAATGTAACTAGGGAACTGGAAGATGAACGCACAGTGAAAATTCCTTGGGCTCATTAACCCAAGTTTTAGGCCCAGGATGGGTTCCACATGCTGCATCCCTACCAGCCTGCAGTGTGCCAGGGCAGCTCCTGCACTGCCCTGTTGAGGAGAGATCAGAGGCAGCTATAGCAGTGGTTCTAGGGCGAGGTGGGTGTCTGAACCCTGGCCATGACACTATTGGTCACGGACTGCGCAGTGCAAAATGGAAAGTGGCAGGGAGGGTTTATCCGAAACCTCAGAATTAGGCTGGTAAATAAAGATGAGGGTGAGCGGCTCTTAGCAACCAAGAAAGGGGCTCAAGAGATGAAGATGCGTGCGCTCCCAGGTCTAGTCCCCACTGACTCGGTCCTGTTTTAAAAACCTTGGTGTTCTGGGAGGCCGAGAGGCGGGTGGATCGCTCAAGGTCAGAAGTTCGAAACCAGCCTGAGCAAGAGACCCTGTCTCTACTAAAAATAGAAATTAATTGGACAACTAAAATATATATAAGAAAAAAAAATTAGCCAGGCATGGTGGTGCATGCCTATAGTCCCAGCTACTGGGGAGGCTGAGTCAGAAGGATTGCTTGAGCCCAGGAGTTTGAGGTTGCTGTGAGCTAGGCTGATGCCACGGCACTCACTCTAGTCTGGGCAACAAAATGAGACTCTGTCTTGAAAAAACCAAACAAAAACCTTGGTGCTGTAGTCCTTAGTGATAATCATTCAAAAACCTTTCCTGGCTGGGTGCCATGGCTCACGCCTGTAATTCTAACACTCTGGGAAGCCAAGGCAGGAAGATTTGCTTGAGCTCAGGAGTTGGAGACCAGCCTGAGCAAGACCCCGTCTCTACTAAAAAAAAAAAAAAATTAGCTGGACAACTAAAAATATATAGAAAAAATTAGCTGGGCATGGCGGCACACGCCTGTAGTCCATCCCAGTTACTCGGCAGGTTGAGGCAGGAAGATCACTTGAGCTCAGCAGTTTGAGGTTGCCGTGAGCTAGGCTGACACCACAGCACTCTAGCCTGGGCAACAGAGTGAGACTGTCTCCAAAAAAAAAGCCTTCCCACCTGAAGTAGCATCCTTTCATTATTCTAGAATCACAATCCTGGTCAATAGAGGGTTTGTTCCCAGGAAGAAAGTGAATCCTGACACCAGAAGGAAAGGCCAGGTAAGGACCCTTTCCCCCTTTTGAGAAGGGCTCTGTAGGAGTATCCACTCTCCATGGAAAACAGTCTCACACTTCCCTTCACAGATCGAGGGAGAAGTGGACCTCGTTGGGATGGTGAGGCTGACAGAAACCAGGAAGCCCTTTGTCCCTGAGAACAATCCAGAAAGGAACCACTGGTATTTCCGAGACCTGGAGGCCATGGCCAGGATCACAGGCGCAGACCCCATTTTCATTGATGCCAACTTCCGTATGTTGTGACCAGCCCACTCCAGAACATCAAAGCACTTCCCAGTTTCTTTTGGGCCCTTACATTCTAGCTTGGTGGGGCGGGGGAGATTCTGCAGCTGAGACACTTTGCTTGGCAAGTGCTAGGAAAAGGAGGCACATACAGGGCTGGCTGGCCCCGAGCAAAAGCCCTCACAGAAACCACTGCTGCTAGGGAACCGGATGCCAGCACCAGGCTAAGGACTCAAGTCTGCTGTCTCTGCAGAGAGCACAGTCCCTGGAGGACCCATCGGAGGGCAGACTAGAGTCACAGTGAGGAATGAGCACATGCAGTACATCATTACCTGGTGAGTCCCTGGTGGTCCCCTGGCTCCCACTCCTTCAGAACACTGCAGCCTAACAGTAGCTCCTAACTTCCTTTCAACCCCAAGGTATGGACTCTGTGCAGCCACCTCATACCTGTGGTTTAAGAAATTTCTACGTCGGACACCTGGTGCTTGATGAGATGACTTCAGACAGCCCTGTCCAACAAAAAACTAGGAAGTCGCTGAACAGACAAAACAGATTGGACTTACGCCAGACCATGTACCACTGGTATAAATAAAAGTCCTGAGCCTCTTCTTACCTTCAATGATAGCAGTGACTGATTGATCATAAAATCCTGACTTTGAAAGTTTCAAAGTCAGCCTCAAGAATTTAAGACAGCTTTTTCAAAACTTGACTGGCTATACAAAAATTAAAAAAAATTTTTTAAATGATAGTGTGTGCCTGGCAGCTACAGGTGGTGTGTGAGGTGGGAGGATTGCTTGAGCCCACAAGTTTAAGGTTAGTGAGTTCTGGTTAAGACAGTCAGTACAATCCAGGCAAGGTGACAGAGCGGGACTCAATCTCAAAAAGAAAAAAAGCCTCATCAGTCCTGTCTGTAGGGAATAAGGACCCCAGCCTGAGCAAGACTATGACCATCTCTAAAAAAAAAAATTATACAAAAAAAGTACTTGCTTCAACTCCAAACCCAATTACCTTCAATCTCAAATGCTCAGACACTAGCTGAAGGATAACTTTTATTACTTTTATGTACAGGAGACAACAGTGTACATTTAGCCCAGTTTGGTGGCAAGTTCTTTTGCCTTTGCCTTTTCCAGCTTGGCGATTCGAGCCACAGATTTGGGACCCAGGACGTTGCCTCCCCAGTGACGACGGATCTGAAACAAGAGGCAGTCAGTCAGCTTGGCCTGTTACTTTTAGAGGCTTTCAAGGCTTGCTGGTTAACTTTTCTGTTTAGCTATTACAAGCGATCACCAAACAGAACCACTCAGAGTTAAGAGTTGCTCACCTCGTCGTATCTGTCGTTGTAGTTGGTCCTGATGGCTTCCACCAGCTTGGCCAGAGCTCCTTTGTCTTCCCTAGTGAGGCAGGGGGAAAAGGTGGGCTTTTAGTGACCTTTCCAGAGAGTAAGAATGCTTTCATTTTTGGATCAAAACAGCCTTTTGCCTCAGATAAAATGTGACCACACGGTTTATTCAGGTGAAGAAATTCTTAACCATCATTGGCAAAGTTTCAGTTACATGTGTTCCTCTAGTTAAAAAGGTCAGCCTTGTAAGGTTAAAAAAAAAAAAAAAATCCGAGGGATGGATTAGGTGAATTGGGGACAGTCTGGGATCAAGCTGCATACTCACGAGTTAACCTGCGTGAAGGCGACAGTGGTGCAGGTCTTCCTGTGGACCAGACGCCCCAGCCTGGCCTTCCCCTTGATAATGCAGTAAGGGACCCCCATCTTCCGACACAGCGCAGGCAGGAAGACAACCAGCTGTAAGACAGCAGTAGCTGGAGAGCATATTCTGACCAAAAGCAGTGATTTTTAAAGCTAGCTTAGTAGCTATTGCTCAGGGTTAAAAAGCTCATGTATTTGCACTTCAAGGTTTAGTTCAGTAAGAGATTCGCATCATTGCAAAAGCCATGCACAAGTTAGATCCCCTGTCAGTATTGTCCTCCAATGGAAGGGTGACTGTCCTGGTCACCCACTTTGGCCCCATGCCAGACTCAACATTAAACCTACCCTATCTTCCAGGTACTGACAGACCCTGAGTTCCACAGTCCATGCTTAAAAACAGGTCACACGTACCTCGATGGGATCCACGTCATGTGCGATCACCACCAGCTGAGCCTTCTTGTTCTCCACCAAGGTGGTGACAGTGTTGACCCCTAGAACACACACAGCCACTCAGCATGAGCATTCATGGGTGCTGCTCTGGTCACAGAAAGCTGTGGCCAGGTGGGCACAGCTGTGGCTCAGTGTTAAAAAGCTCGGATTTTACTCTCCACGGTAATTTCAGGTGAAGAAATTCATACATCATTGCCAACAGCCTGCCCCACCGTTCAGCCACTTTAGGGAGGTGCGGCTCACCTGCTCGAAGGACAGGTGGCCTCTTAGTGGGGACATCCCCTTTGCCGGCAGCTTTCTTCTCAGCCCGGGCCAACAGCCGCTGCTTCTTCTCTTGCTTCGTCTCTGGTCTGTACTTGTGGGCCAGCTTAAGCAGCTGAGTAGCTACGAAGATACCCTTCAGTTTAAGCATGCAGTTTAAGTTCCGATCTACGTCACTTACCGGAACAAAAAGGCCACCCTCATGGTTTAATACACGAATGGGAGTACAATCAAACAACAATTGCAGTTCAAATGAAAAATCTAAGGTGATGTGCCATCTCTTCTGATAGGCCACCTTCATGTTCTGGACAAAACAAGGAACCCTAGATTTTAGTAAACCCACCCACCTTTTTTCAGTACTGTCAAAATAACGCTAACTACATCCTTTCCTGAGACATGCCCTTCCCGCAATGGCGGTTCCAGGCCGAGCCTCACCTGTTTGGCGGTCCAAGGCCTGGGTGAACTGGTTAATGGCAGGAGGCACTTTCAGCCGCTTGTAGAGGATAGCTCTCTGCCTCTGCAGGCGGATGTAGCGGGGCCATTTGACAAAGCGGGTGAGGTCCCTCTTGGGCTGGATGTCCTGTCCTGGGGAGTAAAGGCCAACACCATGAGCGCGGCTCGAGTCCCGGCAAGTCCACGTCTGCGGCCACGCAGAGCGGCGCTGGTGCATCAGCGATCTTGGTGGTTACGAGGTCATCACCATCGTTCAGATAGCAAATATTCTCTTACATCATCTGCACGCGAACTCCGCAGAGACCTTCCGCATTCAACAAAAGGCCAAAGCGCCCGAGCCCCAGCGTCGCGGACCGCGGCGACAGGCCCGACACTCAGCAGCTCTCAGCGACGCCCCGGAGGACGCGCCACCGCCGCCCGGCTCCCGGGCCGGAGGGAGGCTGCCAACTCCCGCCGGCGGCCTCGACCGCACGCCCACCCGCCCACCCCAGCGTGCGAAGCTCCCCTTCCCCGGCAGCGCGCCGGCCGTCCTCCCCTCCCCGCTCACCGATGCCGAAGTTCTTCGGCCTCTTCTCGAACAGGGGGTTCACCACCTTCTTGGCCTCCTGCTTCTTCACCACGGCGGGGGCCGGGGCCACCTTCTTGCCCTTGGCCTTCTTTCCCTTCGGCTGGGCACAAAGAAACCCCGTCAGGCGGCTCCTCTGCGCCCTTCTCGGGGACGGGCGGGTCTCGGGCGGGGCGCCCGGGCAGGGGGTGCACCCCGCCCGCGCGCCGGCGACCAGGGCGGCGGGACCTCCGCGCCGCGGCGGCCGGGACGGGCTCGGGACGACTCGCGGAAGCCCTCCGGCGTGGCACCCGGGAAGACGGGAGCCGCCACGGCGTCCGAGCGCCGCGGCCCCATCCCAAGCCTGGCGGCACAGCGACCAGCGCACCCCACTCTGGGCCGCCGGAGACTCTAGCGCAGCCCGATGCTTCCGTGCAAGACCCGATGGGGCTCCCTCGTCGCTGGGCGGAGAACAGGGCCCCGCGCGGCCGCGCCGCAGGAGGATGGCAGCGGATAGAGCCGCAATCCGCCACCGCTGCCGCGGAAGTAGAGCTTACTCACCATGTTGGCCGGCTGGAGCAGAAAGAAAGGGAAGGGAATTGTGGGTAATATGTATGAGGCCTCGGAGCTCGTGAGAACTTGCGCCTGCGCGGGATTTCAGACTTAAAGCGACAGGACTCGTTTATATTGTAAAGTTGGGGGCGGTGCCCAGAGCGGCAGCGCGGCCGGAAGGAGACTGCGGCAGACTGCGCCTGCTGAGCGGCGCCGGTAAGTGGGTCCGGGCGCGCTGGTCCTGGCGCCCCGGCCTGGCCCCGGGACGAGTACTGGGCCGTGGGCGCTGGGGCGGGGGCGGCTTCCCTTTTGTGCGACTCTCCCCCTTAAATACTGGCACGGAGAACGCGAGTGTGCTCGTTCGGCTGTTCGCGGGCCCCGAGCGAGCGGCTCAGCCGGCCGCGGGACAGGCGGTGGGCGCGGGCCAGGGCTGGGGCGGGGGCCGAGGGCCAAGGCGGGGGCGGGGACCGAGGGCCGGGAGGCTGAGGGGAGAGGGGGCGGGAGGGGACAGAGGGTCAGGCGGGCAGCGCGGGCCGAGGCCGGGTCGGGGACCGAGGGCCGGGAGGCTGAGGGGAGAGGGGGCGGAAGGGGACTGAGGGACCGGCGGGCAGCGCAGGCCGGGGGCCGGGAGGCTGAGGGGAGAGGGGGCGGGAGGGGCTGAGGGACAGGCGGGCAGCGCAGGCCGAGGGCCGAGGCAGGGAGGGGCGAGGGACTGAGACGGCGGCAGTGCAGCGAGGCCGGAGGTGAGAGAGGGCGGAGGGACTGAGGGACGCGGGCAGCGCGGGCCGAGGGCGGAGCTTGAGGAGAGGGCGGAGGGCGAGGGACGGGGCAGGCGGGCCGAGGGCCCGGGAGCCGAGGAAGGGGGGCGGAGGGGCTGAGGAACAGCGGCACGGCGGGCCAGGCCGGGAGCGAGGAGAGGGGGCGGGAGGGGACTGAGGGACCGGCGGGCAGCGCAGGCCGAGGGCCGGGAGGCTGAGGGGAGAGGGGCCGGGAGGCTGAGGGGAGAGGGGGCGGGAGGCGGGGGCCGAGGGGGACGGGAAGGCGGGGGACCGAGGGCCGGGAGGCTGAGGGGAGAGGGGGCGGGAGGGGCTGAGGGGAGAGGGGCCGGGAGGGGCTGAGGGGAGAGGGGCCGGGAGGCTGAGGGGAGAGGGGCCGGGAGGGGCTGAGGGACAGGCGGGCGGTGCTGGCCACGCGGCCGGGATGGGGGCCAGGCGTCCGGCCCGCGCTGGGAGCCGCGGATGACGGACGGGTGCGAAGGGGGTGCGATGACCGTCGTAAGGCCGTCCCCCGCAGCGTGGGGCCGGGGCGGCGGGTTGGGAGCGGCAGGAGAAGGGCGCGCACCGCGGGGTAGGGCCCGAAGGCCCCCTAGGATGAGGAGGGGCGAGGGCGGGCAGCTCGCTGAGAAGCTCTGCCTGGACGGCTCTGGGCCCGGCGTCGTGCGCTGCCCCTGCCCAGGGAGGCGGTGGGCGAGGAGCCCCAGGCCCTGCGTGCCCGGTGCCTGCCGACTGAATGGGTTCGCTGTGCTTGGAAGATGGGGCTTGCTCCGCAGACGGGGA